CATGAATTTGATCCAGAATATGACATCGATGCTGAGCAGCTTCTTGCAGATATGGAATTCAAGGATGCTGATACTGAAGATGAGCGTGAATTGAAGTTGCGAGTGCTGCGCATTTACTCAAAAAAGTAAGTGATTTACTTCATTATCGTTTTACATTGCTCGATTGTTCTGAATTTTATTATCAACTCATGGAAAATATTTGACTGTACATCATTAATATGAATATACTTCCTCTATCCTAAGAAGTTGGTATAACTTCAAATTTCAAAAGGGAAACATCTTTAAATATACAGATTTATTCCATTCTTGTCTCACTCAAAAATAGCTAATCCATGCATAAATGCAGTACATTTTATGGGTATTAATGAGTTTGATATACTACTCAATGTGGAATGAATATAAATATATGAGGACGTAATTTACTGGGAGGGCAATATGTACCACAATTCATATAGGAGAGGCGTTGAAAGAGAACATAAGCTTTTCTAAAATTACCATCTTCAATGGAAGTGCAAATCTAACCTTTTTGCTTGACTAGCAAATGAAAGTGCAATACATAACTAGAAAGTGTAGTTGTTAGCCTGTTTATGACTAGATCCCACGATGACACGCAGACCTATAGGTCACACTATATCAAGAGAGCTTGTTGTCCGATCAAGCTACATCACGTACCGACTACTTTAACAAACATCTCAGGTTTTCTACCGTAGCTATCTAATTTTGTCTGCCCTCAATCTTATTGTATCCTTAAACTGTATGTGTACAAGCATCAATATCTGTTGTTGCCTCTCTTTCCTTCTGATCTTGTGTATTGGAAGTGTCAGACAATCAGACCTAGATCAGTTAATGTAGGTTTCTATAAGCAAATACATAGTGTCTGGATTATATCATTGTAAGCAACTGTTAAGAAAATTGGAATAAATTATTGGGCAGCGACAAAAAATGAAGTGTAGGGAAAGGGGAGATAAGGGAAATGTAAGTGTATATATACCCATTGATAGGCTTTTTTATGGTTCAAAACCAACTTTTACGACTTCAGGGGACACCCCTCACATTCACATTAATTTTGGAAAAAATTCCCAAAATTGGCCTAAACGTGTGGATTATGGCCTTCAATGATTTTTTTTTTTTTTTTTTTTTTTTTTTTTTTTTTCGGGTTCAAAATGAAAAGAAGACAAGATGCTTCCCATGAACCCTAAGACATCCCAGGAGGGCATTTGGATGATAGGAAGTTAGGAACCATCCACTTTGTCTCTTAACTTTAATTTAGCCAATTACATACACGCCTTATTTCATTAACTCAAGAACATACAGGTTTAATGGCTTTTATGATTTCAAACCAACTTTTATGACCCCGAAGTGCACCCTTCATATTTACTTTAATTTTGGAAAAATATTACCAAAATTGGTTCGAAAGTGTGGATTACCCTTCAATTTTGGACAATTTTCAGCTTTTTTTGGGCTCGAAAAGAAAAGGGGACAAGGTGCTTCCCATAGACCCTATGAGACCCGGGACACCATATTTAGACGGTTGGAATTATCCACTTTGCCTCTTAACTTCAATTAGCATTTTAGCCAGTTACGTACAGGTCTCCTTTCATCAACTCAATGACACTAAGGCCTTTATGTGACCAATTAATGGCCGTATATGGTTTCAAACAACATTATATAACCTCGTGATGCATTCCCTACCATCACTTGAGTTTTCGACACCGGGTCCCAAAATCTCTGAAAATGGTCTGATTTCATGTATTATAGCCTTCAAATTTAGTCATTGCAGAACATTTTCTGACTTGGCAAGGTTAGGCATTGAGGTTCTTCCCGGGGTTCCCAAAAGGGCCCTGGGAGGCCTATCTCATTCATACCTTGGCCCTATAAATATTTTTGGGACACCACAAATCTAAGAAGGTGAAGTTCATCTTGAGACGAAGGGCCTAACTTATACGTAGTATGTACATTTTATGGTACCTGAAATTGATAATCAGAGCTAGACCATCTTATGGTCATATTGCACCGGCACCAATTAACACTTTTCAATTTTGATAACTTGCTTTAGTCCCCCTATCAAAACTCTTCAGACTATCAATTTAATTATTCATTTATTTTCACTTTGGTTTGAAAGGCAGAGGGGATAAAAAGGTTTTTAATGCAGGATGTTATTAATTCTGCTTGCACAGGCTTGATGAGAGAAACAGAAGAAAGGATTTCATCCTTGAGAGAAATTTGCTTTATCCCTTGAGAAAGATTTGTCTCCTGAAGAGAAGGCAATATGTCGCCGATATGATCCATTCATGCGGTTCCATTCTAAGGAAGAGCACGAAGATATGCTACAGGCTGTCATCGCAGAACACCGTACTCACAAGCGAATTTTGGAACTTGAGGTAAAATAAAGCTCATTCAGCTACATGTATAACAAGTCAAATCGAGTTTGAGCTGTATAGGTCCACCCATCTCTTCAATATTGAGGTAATGCTTGGTTTGGACTTTGTTGAGTTGACTTAATTTTACAAATCCTTGGGATCCTGAAACCTCAGGCTTGCTTGTAAACACCAAAGACTTAACAAGTTCAACTTGATTTTTGCTTTCTTTTATTATTAGTTACTGACATTTATATATTAATTGAAACTGCTTTATGTAAATAATAAGATACTTGATAGACAAAAACAAAAAACCAATTATTCTTTTCCCTATCTGGAAAATACATAAATTTAATAGATAAGGCAGCTTACTGCCCGGCTGGGCGGCAGGCAACGTCTGTGGGCTGATGATTCTGATGACTACTAAAAAGTCTTAGTACAAGGAATTTCAAATTATCTTCTCTTTTTAGTTCTTCTCAGATGAGCCACTAGGATAAATTTCCCTAATCAAAATTACAGAACCTCATCCCTAGAGATTGTTTCTACTTTCTGGTTTACCCTTGATTTGAAATGCAACAATGATCTGGTATTTGACAGTAACAAGCCTTTATTATTATTATTATTATTATTACTCCGTATTATTTATTTAATCTGTTACAGAGTATAAACCAAAGCCAAATAGGGTCTTCGTCCCTTGCTAAAATTATGAAGACTCTTTATTAGTAGCTATGTGAAGTGATTACGTTGATTCCTTTGATGAATGTAGGAAGCTCGAGCTGTTGGTTGCCGTACATCTGCCGAGGCAGACAAGTATTTTGAGCTTAAGAGAAAAAGGGAAGCTGAAGAAAGTTCCCGTAGAGCAAAAGAGAGTGCTCAACTTGGTCCAGCCAGTCAGTTTGGACAAAATGCTGCCATGACCTCTGAAACTGTGAAGGATCCAGGTTCGCTAATACATGAGCTAGATATAGGGAGATATCCGGGTGAAGAATTGCTTTCTGAAGCTGTAAGTTTATTTTATACCTTACACCACCTCCACCTCAACTTTTATGAGCACTCATAATCTCTTTATTTACTCCAGAAAGTCTTAATTTTTGAGTACCTTGCCAGGAAAAGCAGCTCTGCCATGAGACCAAGATATCCCCGCATCAGTATCTGAAGATGCAGGAGACCATATCTGTTAAAATCTTCAGCGGCAATGTGACTAGTAATGTGGATGCGCACTGCCTGTTTGATATTGAACCAGGCAAAATCGACCGTATATATGATATGCTAATAAGAAAGGGTGTTGCTCCGTCATAAGAAGAGATCATAGTTTCTTCATATGGGAATTATATAGATTGCATTTACCATCACCACAGGTTGTTTGTAATTGTTACAAGAAGGATTCCATCCACATAAACACAATAGGGTACAAAACTTTGCTTTTTAGACCACAGGATATGTCACCATGATAAATCAGCTTTACAGTTATCTCGCGCTCCCCTTAACCCTCTTTCAAAGTTTCGCTCTTCCCTGTCGTATTATATGTTCTGTCCTGTTTACCAAATAATTTTCTCGTGCTGCATAGCCAAATCGAAGTTAGTTGACTTTAGGTTGACGACTTCAAGTTATAGTAGTATATGAATAATATTAATATCATTTGTTGTGACGTTCTCCCTCAATTTTGTAGCCTGCAACAGCTATGCTTGTGATTGTTGTGATTTGTGAACTTGTGAAGTACTCCATAACCTGATAGATCAATAATCTTGTACTAAAACTAGTAGGCCAAATATCCAGCCCACTAGATCAAATCCAAATGTTAGAATATCCCATTCTGTTTTTTATGTTTTGGATAGAGTATTTCAGATCGGATATCTGGGAATTTTCGGATTGGATTGGGATTACCTTTTAATTTTTTTTTGAATTTCCGAAATATTTGATTTTTAATTTTGTAAAAATTGGCTTGTTATAATTACAGTAATACAGTAAACAAATGCCTATTAAAATTTACATATTCAAATTCGATCTGACTTTTTATGTTCCGCGATTTTAAATTGGACTCTGATCAGAATTTTCTTGATTCAAAATATTTGGATTTCTATTTTTTCAAATTAGATCGGATATCTAGTTTGGCTACCCCTACCGGCTACCGCCCATGGCGCCCAATGTGGTGGCAACTTAGCAAATGGCTTAGGACAAACTTTTAAATAATATAACTGTACCAAAGATATTGCACAACAATATAGGTAGATTAACTGTTATGTACTCTATCTATCCCGACTTGATCAAACTCAAACTCATGGCTTGTTTGTTTCATCTTATTTTTTAAAATGAGTTCAGATAAGAAAAGTTTGGACAAAATAAGTTTCTTTTGAAATTTTTTGTAAACCAACATCAGATTATTACCAATATCAGATTATTGATAATTAAGATAATCAGATATAATACCAATGTAATCATATAATATAATCTCAAAACGAAATTAGATTAGGTTGTCCAGAATAATGTCATATTTCCCAATTTGGCAATGATTATAAGTGATAGAAAGAGAATAGAACTTATCCAACTATTATAAGGGGGGTTTAACCATTATGCTAATTTGAAACATATTGACAGAGTAACAAAATAAGAGTAAATGAGCAGTGACTGTAGAAAAAAGGCACATACTTGCAAATGTTGCAACTTGATATTAATACCTTCCGAGAGTTTAAATACTCTTAAAATTTATCACAAGACTGGAGACTTGTTTCAAGCTACAATAGCAATTAAACCTTTTCACTATTGACAAGCATAAAAAAAGCTGTATCAATTTCTTTCTGCAGTGAGCTCTTCAACGTTTGAACTCAGACCCCCTCATAGATATGTCCAGCTTCTCTATACACCACCCCAAAATTCCACAACTAAAAAATTTCCGATGAGCTAACTCTCCAGCGTTGTTGATTCCTTCCTCGGTTGCTCTCTTTCTTTCTGTCTATGCTATTTACAAAATATGCTACTTACATTCACATTACAAAAATTGCATCACCTCACGCTGGCTTCCACAAATTTTTCCTGTGTATATTGCTGCCTGCAAAATTCAAAATCCTTTTCTGCGCTCAGCCTATCATCTTTAGCAACAACTCCAACATCATAGTCAACCCCAGCATCAGAATTGTCCTTTTTGTTTGATGGACTTCTGCATATTGTATTGTCTGTAACATTTGTAAGTACAGGCTTATGCATGTTCACAACAGGTGCATCTTGCCCTTCTTCGACTTCCACAACTTCTGAAATAGGAGGCATGGCATAATCAAGCAAGCGCGAATTTGACTTGGCAGAGATAGAGGAAAGAATGTCAGGGCATGTCTTTGCAGTAACCCATGAACCATTAACCCAATCTTTGGCCATTCTTATAAGTGATTTCTCTGTGGTCACATATCTGTCATCACCTGATTACAAGAAAGCACCAATCAAATCATAGTTGATAATCCAGCTTTGTAGATAGTTAGATGCCTGCTATACTGAAGAAAATGAAACCCCTTCCCCTAAAAAAAAATAAAAAAATAATGCTAACTTAAAACTAGGTTATAAACAAGGCTTCTTTAATTTAGAAACTGAAATTTTGAGCATGAAAATTCCATAGCCCACATAATATAATCAGGCACTAATTTCACTCAATTTTAGTGCCTAGTAATAGAAAAGAGCCACTAAAATTGCAAGTTTCAGAGCATAAATCTCGTACCCACCAAAGTTCAGAGTTAAAAAACAAATATATATTTGCAGATAAATGCAATTTCTCATACTCAACTTTCCAAGTCCTAGCCAAGATCAAAAGGAGTGAATGATTGAGGAGTGACTATGAAAAATTAACTAGTGAGAATGCAGGAAAAACTAAGAAGCGTCTTAGCACAGCACAGTGTCATAAAGTGTGAGGGAAAGTGGTGAAGAATTGAGTTCCATTAGTTATTCCATTCTGCTATGCGTAGTATGGTTTGGGCCGGTTGAGCCATTATCATACCTGGACGGCTTCTCAACAATATCTTACACAATGACTTCACCAGAAGCTTCATAAAGTAGTGCATACATCAATTATAGACTGACTATCCCCCACCGGCCCACATATGCCTATATTCTGCAGGGTTTGCTACAGATCACCCTCAATCTTTACAATGTCAATATAAGTTGATAACAAAATGATGCAATCTTATACTCTTCTCTTACATAACCCACTTGCTCAAATGGTAGGCCACTACAATGTTTAGTGAATGTTTAGTCCTCTGATTGATCTATTATGAACAAGACTTGTTTAAGGGAACTAAAAAAAGGTATAAAGTGACTTTCTCTTTGTAATTCATAGGAGAACCAGATAGCTCCATTTCATCCTCAAAGGACACAAGGCCCTCATTTTGTCAAATAATCTAAGAATTACATAATGATCACCTTTTAACTTGCTAGATATCATGTTGACTTGCATAGGAAACCCCTACATTCACGCATCAGAATAGCACATGTTTCTAGTAAGATGTCAAATATATAAACCTAGTGTACAATCAAATTCGGTGCATTGACTCAATCTGAGGCCAGAGACAGGATAGACTATGTGAGACCAATCTTATCTTAAGACAGGGTTCTTGATACACAGCAAAATCTGCAGATATTCAACTCCTTGTATGGATTGAGAGCACATCACCAATTTGGTGGTATTGTCAACTTCACACCTTTCATTCTCCTATAAATTGTTCTAATGATTGCAAGATCTTTTGATCAAAGCTCATATATGAGTTTTGGGTTTAAGGAAGACATTTAAGTGATTGTTCCAGATATCTCTTGGTTCTAGTGGGCGGTGATTAGAGCAGGGACAGATGTTTACAACGGTTAGTGTCAATGACAATTACATAACAGGAGTACATAGTTTTTGTTATAGAAATTGAGTTTATCTAGGAGGGAGGGAAAAGCGCCAGGGTAGGAGGCAGGCAACCACAGATTGAAGGCTGCAGGAATAGAGCGTACCAGGCAGGTAAATTTGTAGGTGGTCAGTCCCACATACATTTGCGGTGATGATGACCCCTTCCCACCAGCCATCATGCCACCAAATTTCTACTGCTGTTCCCACCTCAAGAATGCAGTCATCAGGGTCCTTAGGTGGACGTGGTCGAGTTGTGAGACGGCCAGAGCATCTCAGACCCATTTTATCAGGAGCTGCCACTCTATATGAAGCAACCCACTCCTGGCACACACATCAACAAGTTATTCTCAGTATCCCGTCTTCATAAAACCCAGAGGTAATTCATCAAATTAAAAGGAAAAAAAGAGGGGGGGGGGGGGGTTACATATGTTTAAAGCAATACAGACTAATAACTAGCGAACATGCAGGGACCAAGATAATACCATGTAAAACACATGATATTCTACAAGACACTCTTCTTCAGGAAACATGATTATGCAACAAACTTGGGTATCATTCTTGAATTTTCTTGTTGATTGTCAAATTCATTTCAGAAAGTATTGACTTCTATACACACAAACATCTAGCACTATATACAATTTTTGTTTTTTCTAATTATGCACTCTTGCAGTAGAGTTACCACCACAAGGGACCTATTATTTTTTGAGGGGGATGGGGTTGGGGTTGAAGCAACTATATGTTTAGCTATTGGATTGACGAATATTAATTTGTTAAAGTCCTTTCGGGGCAAATTTAGTCTCCATTAAAAGGTTTTATATGAATGCATTAAGTTCGTATATTACCTGCAATTTCCCAAAATCTTCAGGATCCTCCAGATCATCATACTGAACTTTGATGCGCTTCCTGGAGATCTCTAAGACCTTGCATTTGAACCAACATCCTCGGATACCACTATCCTGAGAAAGTAGCTCTATATCATCATTGATTCCAAATGAAGCAGAAACCTCATCATGATGACTTTCTACAAAATCTCCATGCTTCACTGTTTTCCCAGCTAACTTTATCTTCAGCTTTGAAAATGATGGCACAACTTTTGTTTTTTGACTCCCTATTGCTGAAGGACTCGTCTCAGCTCTACTACGACCCCTTAATTGGATGTCTCCAATCTTTCTCTCATCAAGTCTCTTTCTTTTACTATGCTCCTTGGTCTTCTTCTTGGAGAAAAGGATATGATTTATACAGGACAAAACTGCTTGATTACGATATCCCTGTAATTTGCTTACAGTGAAAGGTCTGATCTGATCATTTTTTAACTGTCTGAAGCACAAATGTACCCTGCATAATATAGACTGTGGAAGAGCAGCCACACATTGCTCATAATGTTTGGGAGTTAAGACAGAAGCAGGTCCGCCAATGCACTCTGCATTTATTACTTGGACATGAGGTGTAATAAATACTTCTCTAGGGTGGGCATCCAGCTGAGACACTAAACTTGTGACTTCTTCATCACGATGAAACCACCGCACTTTAACCTTTTTTTGCCCCTTTTTATCCTCATACATGTCTTCTAAGTAACCAAGGTAAGGATTTCCTTCTGCAGCCATGACGAACACAAAAGAATGCACCTGCATCATGCATCAGAAACTGATAGGCTAAGTCCAATGATAGAAAATTAATGACAGGAGGATAAAATGTTCAGATAGATGCTTACTGAAATGGTGATCCCAGTTCGGATAAAGGAAGGATAATGCATGAGTTTTTTGGAACAAGCCCAACCTTCCCCATTCCACACAATATCAGATATTTGGGCCTTCAATTTCCTAGGAAGCTGGACAAGCAAGAGGATCAGTAGTTAGCAAAGAAAAAAAAAAGGAAGAAACACCTATCATAAATTCATAATAGTTACAAGTCAACCGCATTAAAATAGGGTAAAGTAAGTACCGTCACAGGTGAATGAGAAATTAGAGTGCCATTGGATCCACGTATTCGATCTTGAAAGGGTTGAGCACAAGCATATGACTCTGACAAAATCATTGACATTAATAACACGGGTCACTAAAAATAACAGCACAACACGAGACATCATAAAAACGACATGCAACCAGATCAATCTGGATTCTGGAACACCAGAAATAACTCCCAAACATTTTGATAATACATAAAACATCAAGGTAGTTGATGTCATCGGATATTTATAAAATCATGATAATTATAAAACTTGGAAAGGATGTGTATACATAAGCCAACTAAGAGAAGAAAATGATAAACTTGGTATTATTTCCACGGCTTATTTAATAATATGTAAATTTAAAAAAAATATACGGAGTAATAATAACCAAAAAAAAAAAGGCCAGCTCAACATGAGTGTGTGAATTGAACACTGGACGATGATTTTACAGGTAATAATTCCAAAAATAACATTAAGAAAGAGGATACTGATGTATCGTATTTGTGACTAAGAGAGGAGGACGTGATAAGATGTTCATACGTCATAGTCATGTTAGACTCTATAGGACTATAAACATATGACCGTATTGGAACATATATTTTGTCAGTGTTATCATTATGAATTAAATCAGAAATGTTTGGATGAAAAGAGAGCACAATATTACACAGCAATAACAAAAGTGCGCACAATTCAACATGTTTGATTGTCAACTTGTGCATACCTATTAAAAAAAATTGAACTAGCCTATTTTAAAAAATATATATGGCCCAACAGATAAATAAATCTGATGAACTGAAGCATTTTACAGATCATAATTTTCCAAATGCGAACAAGTAAATAAGGTAATACGGATGAGGGAAGACACGATTTTTATTAAAAGGGAAGACATCAAAGATTGGTGTGGCATACTCCACTTAAATATTTGTCTTCCCTTTCTCTTCTTCATTATCTTCTTTCTATATTGCCTTAGAGAGGAGGTAGTCAGAGGAGAGACTGGATAGATGCAACACATAAAAAACTATATACACATATTCCAAAATAAAAATAAATCACTAGTGCTGGACAGACTTTGACAAATTGGAGGTCTTTTCATTGTCTGCATATAGCTATATGAGTACCTCAGCTGGGTTAAAAGAGAGGCAGTAAGGCGGGTGTTTGGACATTGAAAGATAAGTAGATTGCATGAGAAGGATATTTTGGTTTTCGATATTACGACAAAAGAGAAACAAAATATAACCTCAGCCACATAGTGTATATGAAACACCCGTTCTACAAGGCTCCAACCATCACAGTAAACTGCTGCATATTGTCAGCATACTGCCAGAGAATGCCGAGCTCACTTGACATATCCTAATCACGAAACAGCTTAATTGGCAGCACCTTCCAGATCCTAGCATACGGATACTCTTTCCTTTTTGGATTGATATGTTTGCATTTATTTAGTAGATTCTATTGTTCACATTACTTGCAAAACTTTAGATTTAAGGTAAATACGTGTGCAATTTCCATTTAAGTCTACTAACCCCCTTTCCCCGGTCCTCCTTTCAACTCATGATTCCCATAGGTTATACAGTCAACATGGAAATGAAGACTGAGATACAGAAATCATATGCATTCTCTGTCATGCCAGCACGTTACAGCAGCAGCAGCAGCAGCAGCAGCAGCAACAACAACAAAGCCTTAATCCGAAAGGGAATCATGCCAGCATGAATGAGCATCCTAAGGTAAGAAGTCAATCATATCATAATTTAAAGCAATGGTGATCTATTTGTGCATATTTTTATAAAATTCACAATTGAATGTTCATCATCATGCTTTTCCTTTTTTACTACAAAGTATTTATTTTCCCTTCTAAGGTTCTCAATATCATCCATACACACATCTACAGTTCTAAGATGTAAGAAGTGGTAGTAAAGGCTAGAGGAAAATATTCGACATGCTAGTGGAGATTAGGAGGGCATGCCAAAGCTTGATAAAGTTAAGTAGGTAAGATTTTATGAGGCTACGAGCATGGCAAGGAAAGGCAAGACTAGGGTTTCTGTGGGTTAGGCCAAGGATAAATGAGACAATAAATGAAAAGCATGGGCAACTTCTGAAGCAATATGCGGCTAACTAAGATTTCGAAAGTTGACATATTTTGAACTTTTAAAGAATGAAGCCTAACTAATATTCTGAGTAATGAGTTCCCAGTTCTAATCACCCCAAAAGGCCAAGTGTTAATTTGTTTAGTAAAGAGAAAGGCCTTGACCTGTACTCCCCCGGACTTCACCTAGTATTAACTAGTGAGTAGTGGCAATGCTAATTTTATGTGATAAATAATTGAATCACCATTTATATCTAATTTTCTGAGTAACCTGAAAGTGGATCAACTGTTATGCATGATCATCAAAATAGAATTTCACCAAATTACAATCTATACACCCCAACATTGTTCTCTAAATAACAACAACAACAACAAAAAGAGGGCTAGAGTAAATCACTCAAAGAATAAAGACTCACCCGACAGCGGCAACAGGTGCTGATTTTTGGCAACCAGCTTATTAAGCCAGTCAACAACCTCCCTTCTCGAGCGCCATTTGGTGGCAGAGTTAACATTACAAACAGAGCCATAACGATTGACAAAATCGTCGAAAACAACATATATCATATGTCTAACACTTCTTTCAGTACCTTGAATAGCCAGTACAGAATCACCCACAGAATCATTAAGGTAATAATGAACTGTACGATTACCTTTCTCCTGTGAAATGATCCGTTCATCCCATGACACAAATCCCTTCTCACCATTCGTCATCGTCTACAATTTCATGAAACTTTCAATATCATTAAAACGGTATAATCATCAATCATTTTTCAAAAAGGCTAAAACCCCACCAACCCAGATAAAATTAATCAATTATCTGATAAAATCTACCAACCCATGAAGGAGAAAAAGGGTACCTGAAGGAGAAATGGTGAACAACACGGCGGCGGAAGCGGCGGAGACGACGGCGGAGGAGAGAGAATTTAGGGGTGGAGAAGGAAGGAAGAAAAATAGGGAAAATTGATGTGAATTTCCATTTCATTCAACACAAATGAATAAAGATTGATGATTTGATGATGTTAATTCTGGGTTTTTTTTCTGGGTATGTTGGGGAATTTCCGGCGGTAGTAGCAGTAGCAGGGGTTTTTTTGTTAGGAGAGGAGGCGGGTAACCTTAATTCCTGACTCTTGTGCTCGTATCATATGTGTAACACCTAACATATGCGGAGTACATTATTTTTTAACCTACATTACATTATACTGATTTTTTTTTTTCCTTTAAAAAAAATGATTATTTTTCTTACCTTGTATAAGAAAAAAAATATACGGTACAAGTTTTTTTTTTTTTTTTTTACATATGTCTCTAAAACCATTGCATTCTAATGAGTTTTACGTCTTGAAATGATACTGATGAGTGGATATCTTTAAATTAAGGTGTGTTTAATGGAGGTGTTTGAAGGGAATTTGTTTAGTAAATCTTAAATTGTATATCATGTATTTTGCACGAGCGTCTTAAACTTGGCCTTTGAAAATATAACTCTAGCAAAGTAAGATTTGAATTTGTTACTGAATTTAAGGTGATTGAGTCATGAATCATGATATATAATTGAGATAAAAGCATTGTACAAGTATAAATGAAAAATTATCCTCTATGCACCAATTTCTTAATCCTGTATATCAAGATGATTTATTATACATGCATTGTTATTGTATTATGTATATCTCCAAATTTAATATAGTAAATACACAAAACTGGACTATAATTTCAAGTACTAAATTGTATCCATTAAAACAATTTTCTACTTTACTTTTAATGTGACTGAGTTGATATGGAAAATTATACTTCCCCTGTTTCTTTATAATTTCAACACTTTTCTATTCATGCTTGCCGATACATGATTTCAATCGTTAATATCTTTAATGCCTATATGTAAAAATTATAAACATTTTATGTTAAAATAGTATAAATCGAGGCGAATCTAATAAAATTCTACATGACTATATTTTTGCATAGCAATAAATCATCAAATCTAGTCAAAGTGGAACATATGAATAGTGTAACAGTCAAATTGTTGCAATTTTTTTAAAAAAAATGGAGGAAGTATATAGTATGTAGAACATCGGAATCTTAATAGCATATTTTCTTATAAGATACGTGTACAATTATATTTACGAATCTAAAGATATTTTAGTTAAGCAAAATCATTGATTCGATTCCAAAAAATTACAAATAATTTTACTTTAGAAAGTAATCTATCTCCAGTATCATTTTCACGTTTCACTTATACGACCCATGCAATGCACGAACCAAAGGACTAGATATATTGTTGGACTACTTACTTCCTCTGTTCTTTTTATTTCCCCATTTACTTTCGATGCCACCAAAATTTAAATAAATTGATTGTATTTTGCAATGTATATATAAAAAAGAATATTTTGATATGGGACAATGTTAATTTCATTGCAATTAGTATTTTTATAATATCATCTTTTTAAATTTCTTTACTAATACTAAAATTATTCCGCATACAGTTGATGTCTATGATCAAAGTTATATATTAGAAAGTGCACAAAATGTAAATGAGAAAATCATTATCATTACCATTACCGCAACTTATTATCGGCTACCAAACGAAAACGGGCTGTTAAAAAAACACAGGGTGTAATGGACGGGTAGTCGGGTAAAGAGCAGCAGAAGGTGGGCAACGCTACTCTTACAATTTAAACAAAAAACGGCCCACTTAAGAATCAGATAACTAGATAAGGATCTGGTGATCTCTTTGAAGACCAGTAGCAGCAATACTTAACCATACAAAAAGATAACACCACTATAACAGTACTCATCAAATACAAGAACAACAACAAGCAGCTCTTCTTCTTTAGAAATCATCAAAATTCAACCAATGAATACTACTTCGATTAAATCCCAACATTTCTTCCCAACCCCAATCAAAACCACACCATCAAATCCTAAATTTTCCAACTTTATTTCATCAAATTCCCCTGCATTTCTGGGTAACAAAAACCTTATTAATAACCTTTCTTCCAAACACAAAAATTGGGTTATTAAATCATCATCAAAACATGAAATTATTGATAATGATGATGATAAATTAGTGTTTAAGAGAAGGTTACAGGTGTTTACAGGGGCTGCTTCAATTGGGCTTCTGCTGATGATGATGGGCCAAGACAAGGCATGGGCTTTAGGCCCAGAAGGCCCATTAATGGAGGAATTCTGGGAGAATGTAAGAAGATATGCATTGTATGCACTTACAGTGAGTACTGGGGTTATTTATACAATTTTACAGCCGATTGTAGAGTTGCTAAAGAACCCAATATCAGCTATATTGATAGTGGTTATTATTGGAGGATCTTTTTACATCGTTTCTCAAATTGTTTCTGCCATGGTTGGTGTTTCCGACTTCTCTTATCAATATGCCTACTAGGCGCACTCGGTATGTATTAAATGAGAATTTCTCGGCCTCTAATAGCTTGAGTCTTCTACCACTTATTTAATCGTGTTTAGATGATATCAGACATTGTATTAAACAAACCCGCTCCTCATTTTGTACTTTATTTGGTATGCCACGTTATAATACTAAGGTAGTTTAGATTTTGTTTTATGATTTTTTTTAAAAAAAAAAATTAATAGCGGTGTAAAATCAGTTTTATGAGTAAGATGATTAAGCTCAAAATCAAGTGAGGTTGTGCTTTTTGAAGTTATTTGATCTTGGTTTATTTAAGTGTGTTTACGAATTTATCAATCAAATCGAGTTCAATTAAGTCGAGTGCATAATATTCATATAGGTAAATGCAATTTATGCAAAAATGATCAAAGTTGATTGGTAGCAATGGTAAGTACATACGTAAGTGAAAACATTGAAAATCGATATAATATCATAGTTGTTGAATTAATTTGGACATAAAAGAAAGCATGTGTATATTATACAACTAATGAAGAAATTAAAAATACGGAGTATGAACTATGAAGCATAATTATAATTGATTCATTTGCTGTCATTATTATCATATGAATGTCTATTATGGCTAGGAGATGTCCTAAGAGAATATAGTATTTCATGAACAATCAACGGAGGAAACAGATAAAGAGTATATTGGAAAATCAAGGATTCGCCTGCACGAAGGGGCTTGCCATCATTGACGAGACAATCGTTGAAACGGAGTCTTCGAAACACAATAGGATTGATAGTATTGGCAGAGCTGAACCAGTCGCAATTGACATGGATGTTGGAGATGTTGCACTCGGATGCACAAGCATTAAGTTATTGTAGGATGGAATACCATTGGGCAATGGCGACGAATCCTCTTGTGTTTTTTGTATGTCATTCTTTGAGCATTTATAAGTTCCTCCGGCTCGTAGCACACCTACATCTAACAACAATTGCAATAATTATAGTTAAGAACTTGCTTATAATTTTATTTAAAAATTCTTAATTAATTTTAAAATTTTGTATACATAAAAAGCGTTACTCGTATTTAATTTGATGAGACTCATAAAATTAAATCCTCCTTATTCTATGGTATGCATCATGTAATTAAATCCGAGTAACGCTTTTTATGAAAACTTGAAACCAATGAGGCAATGATATTTAGAAACATCAAACCATTTGAAATGCCATAATAACAAAATACTTCACACTTAGATATTAATAATGTACTCACCAAAACGAATTAAACTAGATCCTACATGACTATATTTTTTCTTATAGATTGAGAAAAATTTAAAAGATTCTTTCTTATTTTTTAAAAGTCAAATGTTCTATACAGGAACATCATTGTGGAACGGAGGGAGTATCATATCATATCATATCATATATCACCAATAAATAAAGCTGATTTTGCAGTCAGGCCACGAGACAACGAGACTTGACATTTCAGTTTTTCGCCAAGTGTCGTGTCACGTAGGCGACAAATAAGTATTATTGTGACACATATGATGTTAAATAAGCGGAGGATTTTTTAAATAAAAAATGTTGTATAAAGTTTTATTATCGATATACTTCTAATATTTCATATATATACAAAATTAATCATAACTTTTAATATATATCTTATAACTTGGTTTTATTTCCATTAAGAAATTCGTTTTACGAAATTCTTTAATCATTTCTTATAACAAAATTTAAATCAAAAATTATTTTTTGACCAACCACGTGGTGACACATGTTAATTAAACTTAATAATAAAAAATAATTACCTACTCAACCGGTTACAGGTCACTTGGGACCAATTTTAGCGGATTGGGTATAAAGGTCGGATTATTTAAAAATAACCCAAAGGTGGGATTATTTTAGGCGGACTCCCCAAAGGTGGGATTATTCCAGGCAATTTTTCCTTTAGAAAAATAAAATTTACGACTTTTAAAGAGTAGAAAATAAAGTGTATAAATATGTGTGTATTAACAAAATAATTTCATTTTTAATTGAACTAAACACTATTACAAATATAACAATATTGAAGAAGAAAAGGTTGATAATATTATTGAAAACTAAGATAATGCATAGTAGTATTGTTTAATAATATTTAACTAATATACGCTCAATATTTTACAAAAAATTACCTAATATAAAATACTACATATATGTAATAATATATTAGTTGAGTTTATATGGAAAACTATTATTGTTAAGAATTGAATGATATTTTGAATTATTATAAAATAATTTCCTTAAAGAATATGCGAAAATAAGGAAAGTAAAATAGGCGGAATTTTTTTTATCCAGGAGATGACATGTGTCATTCCTGGTTTCGCCTTTAGTATATAGTAATTGATTGATTAGCCCCGCCTTATCTTAAGACGACTTACTTTTTTTTAACTCTTCAACCCTCAACTCATCTAAGATTTCGCAAAACCTATACAACTATATATAGCCAAAATAGAGTCCAATGGGTTTCGAACCTTGTTCTTGAGATTATCATAAATACAATATGACTACTAATCCAACTAGTGTTTTTTACAATTATTAGTGAAACAATTTGTATATATAGTACTTTCGGGGCCCTTTTTTCTTTTCTTTTTTTTTGGGGGGGGGGGGTGGCTGTTCCGTTGCCCACCTTGCACCGGCCCAGCCCCGCCACTGTAGCCAACATCATCATTATTGTATGCTGACATCATCCATGTTTCCTTTTCAAGTCTTAACTTGAGTCTTGAAAAATCAAGACTCCACTTCAGACTTTGGTTCCGTTTCCTTCACCTCATTTTTGCTGAACTGAAATTATTTTTACTGTATTGAAATTATTTTTGCTAAAATTAAATGATTTTCACTTAACTGAAATTAATTTTATTGTACTGAAATTATATTTGTTGAACTTAAATTATTTTTACTGATTTTATTATTATATTTCTTCTTTAAAGTTATTGAATTTTACTGAACTGAAATTATTTTTACTAAACTAAAATTATTTTTACAGAATTGAACTTATTTTTACTGAAACGAAATTATATTTATTGAACCGAATTTTTTTTTACTTAATATTATTTTTTAAGGTGAAGTGAACAGGGCCTTTGTTATAACAAAACAACACCAATGCAAAAAATTATGTAATCTTATCTTAAAACTATTGGAAACCAATATTTGGGGTGTGTTCTATTCACCTTTTTTCATTTATTAGAACTTATCTTATCGTATCTAAACTAACCCGAACTTATCTGAATTATTATGAACTTATTACTCCCTCCGTTTCGCATTAGTTGCAATAGTAGGTTTGGCTCATAGTTTAAGAAAATCATAGACTAGACTTATAATATAAAGTATTGTTAGTAAGAGATAGAAATAATTAAAAAAGTAGCGTGGGTGGGGTTAGTAGGAAAGAGAAATAATAAAATATTTATGAAAGTGGGGTTAGTGGGAGAGAGAAATTATAAAATAATGGTGGGTCCTTTCCAAATATAGTAGTGTTGCAACTAATGCGAAACAGAGGAAGTAGATCTTATTAAAACTTATTTTAGTTATAATTTGTACTTGATTAACCCTTATCAGAACTTATTTTTCCTGAACTGAACTTATCTGAACTTATTACAACTGAAATAAGTGAAAATACGGTGAATAGAACAAACCCTTAATGATGTCATCCCAAGTATTAAGACTTAGGGCTAATCTTTATAATCAATATTTTAAAAACATTCATATCAAATGATAACTTGTTATTATATTCATCTTGAAATGTTTTTTTTTAATACTCCCTTCGTCCATTATTTACATGTCTATTTCCTATTTTTCATGGGAATTAAGGAACTTAGAGATCCTTTAAAAACCATTATTGGAATGTACAAATGTGCATGCGGGGTTAGAGAGAGATAGAGAAAAAGAAAATGTACTTGGTAATTATTGAAGAGATAGAGAAAGAAAGTGTTGGAAAATAATGTCAACAGTACAAAAAAATTTAAAAGGAAATTGATGACAACCCATCAAAAAGAGGGAATATAGTCAAAAAGTACATTCTTTAAATAGAAATACATATAATTTTAAAATCCTAAAAAGGAAAGTAGGCATGTAAATAAGAGACGGGGGATCAGAGTAACAATTTAAAATTTTTACTCATACCTCTCCCTTTTCTTTTGGTCCAAACACTCCTCTTTTTTTTTTTTTTTTTTTTTTAAACAAGCCAATGAAGCACTGACAGTAAGTCAATACGGAGTAATATTGAAAAACAGATTTGATCAAAATTATACGAGTATTAAATATAAAGAGTTAAATATTGCAAAAAATAAGGGAAAAAAGAGTATTACATACCAAGTACGAAGTACTCGTTTTCTTAAGTATGCATATAAATACTCCTAAATATTACGGAATACTCCGTATTAAGTATGCATTTAATTATAGTATCCTCTCCGTTTTTAAATTTTTGCTTCATTTTTCATTTCTGACTGTTTTAAAATACTTTTGTTTTATTTTCTTATTTGGAAAGTTTTTATAATAATTAATTCATGTCTTGCAACTAGTGCACCCAACATAAATAATATTTTATTAATTTCATATTCTTTCTCCTCTAATTCTCTCTACTTTTGCTTTTTACAATATTTTTATTCTTCTACTACCCCACCAGCTCCATGTTTTATTACTTTCTCAATTTCTCCTAAAATTATGCGCATAGAGAAATGGAGCAAGTATTTAAAAATGGAGAGAGTAGTAATTTTGTTTGAAACACTTCTTTTGAAAAAAAGACTGTATGATACTCCTAAATACAACATCATTATTTTTCTTAGCTTAAAAAAAAAAACTTCTAAGAGCATCAATACTCGTGTTATAATTTTATACCACGGTGTAAAAATTCATCAAAATTATGCAACCATATCGATATATACCATCACATGGTAATTTTTCAAGACCTACGCATAGACAACCATATCGATATAGATTTATATATTTTTCTAATTCGCTTTATTCTACCTAAATTGCTTATTTTATTTAATTAACTTTACTAATAGTGATTAGTTATTTTCAATATAATAAATGAAATAATTAAATTAAGTGTATAATTAATATATATAGGAGAGAGAAAGTGTGGTAATAAACCTTGTTTTATACCATGGATGAGATGATTTTTAGAGAAAGTATATTGTATTGTGGATGTGGTATAGATGATGTGGAGGAGTAAGAAAGTGGTAGAGAGAGAGAGAGGGGGGGATGGTATACATTTTTATACCATGAGTGATGATGGTCTAAATAAAACATATTGTACATTTGTACGTTGTATTTATATAACTGAAAAAAGGAAAATAATTATTGTCCCGCCTCCATAGCATAGTGGTATTGCGTTCGCTTCGTAAGCGAAAGGTCGCGAGTTCGATCCTCGCTGGGGGCTTTAAATGTAGTTTTTTAACCACAAGTTTGGCTAAGAGTTGAGGATTAAAGCATAGCAAAGACATACTGGGAATAAAAGAGTAATAGAAATTTAACCTATTTTTTTTCGTCATTGATCATCTCTACATGACCTCCCTCGACATTTGACAAGTAGGCATTAGTAAATGAGAGGGAGATGAAGTAATAATAAAGAAGTTAAAGGGAAATTAAACAAGCCTAATTAAGAATAATGTCACAATGTTAACTGTTAGCACTTAGCACTACAAGTGACAACAACAGATGATACATGCCATAAATCTACAGATTATTTATGGTGACCATAAGGCTCAAAACTGGTAACAGAATTAGGACTACCACCAGCAGCAGCAACAGCGGGAGCACCAACAGCGTCAGAAGCAGTTGCTACCGAAGCATCTTTTAAGTATCCATTCATGGAAGAAGACCCCCCAAAATAGCCATGATGATGGTGTGAAGGTGGAGGTCCAATGTGAAATACTGGCCCAAATGCGGCGTACTGATCCATGGCTACTCTACTAAGCTTGAGGAGCGGCTCACAAGTGCGGATAGAGCCACGTTCCCCCTCCAGCTCCCTGTAACGATGCAGGTAAAGGGTGAGTGGCTCAATGTAGTCGTCGAATCCAAGCTTGCTCATGGCCCATAGTACATCTTCTGCTGTTATTGTTTTACGCTGCTCCCTTTGGCACCTCTCATTTGCTTCTCCTGTTATAAAGCTAATGTACTCGGACACACACTCCTGCACACAAGTTTAATGTGATGAAACCTTACTTGAAGACATGCGCGCATGCATTGTTAATTATTATATATATGTAGAAAATTGTGAAAGAAAAGAAATTACCTGGATTGTTTCCTTAGCATCATCAGAAATTTTGGCATGTGGTGGAAGAATCTTGCGCATGATGCGTATGACATTAGCAATGGGCATAAAGCGATCTTGTTCTCGCACTGTGCATTCGTTGTTATCTTGATCAGTTGAAGACACAGAGTGGTTACTACTTCCATTGAAGTTATTGTTACCGTTGTTGTTATTAAGGTGATGATGACTCATGTCATCATGGGAGAACACTTTTCCGTTGATTGTTGCGCGTATGTGATTCATCTCTCCTGGTAGTGTCTTGGATGACAATTTCATTTCTGTTCCAAATATAAATAATCATACACATATATATCATACTCAAGATAAATTGCCCTTTTTGTTTGTAAAAAAACCAAAATACTAGTATTAGAGTTTTAACAAGGTTTTCTCAGTCTAGCTCCAATTTAGCAAGGCATTATAACTATAGTTACCAATTCACAACTACTTATCAAACACCCCGGAACGTTTATTAGCTTTTTCCTTATAATTGTAGTTACCAATTCACAACTATTTTAAAAAATTTATTTCCAAATACTTTGTACTATCTCATTTCCTATTGATCTTTTCACTTGAAATCTTTTTGTGAGATAAAATTGGTCAGAGAAGATCAATATAAAAGTGTGTGGGGGGGGAGGTTGGATTGCTAAACATCGCCCGCAAATCTCCACATAAAGCCCACAAAATTAGAGTGAAATGACACTTTTGCCCTCAAAGTAAAAAACACAATTTCTTCTCTCTATTCTCTACTTCCACTTTCTCTCTCTAAAAAACTTTCCGAGCGATGTCGAGGCGGCCGGCAAGGAAGTGGCGGCACCGGCGGCGGGTGGACGGCGGTTTGCCGGCGAGGAGGTATTTTTTATTAATTTTGTTTTTAAAAAATAAAAAAAAAAGTTTGGAGGCGGTGGCGGCGCCAAGGCCAGACGCCACCACCACGGCGGAGGCGCCAAGGCCAGACGCCACCACCACGGCGGAGGCGCCTAGGCCAGACGCCGTGACGGTGGCGGCGGCGCCTAGCCCAGACGCCACCACCACGGCACCAGCGTCTGGGCTAGGCGCCGCCGCCACCGTCACGACGTCTGGCCTAGGCGCCTCGTAATATATTTTTTTTTTTAATTTTATTTTGTTTTTAAATTTGAAATTTTATTTTCGAAAATAATTTTTTTTTTTCTTTTTTTTTAAATTTGTTTTTCTTTTTTTTAATTTTAAATTTTATGTTTCTGATTTTTTTTTTTTTTATTTTGTTTTAAATTTTGTTGTTTTTTTTTTAAAAAATTTTATGTTCCTCTTTTTTTTTTTTTAATTTTTAATTTTATGTTCTTTAAAAAAAAGTTTAAAACAAAAAAAAAAGAGAATTAAATTAAAAAAAAAAAATATTTTTTTAAAGCCACCCCTAGTGGCGCCTGGCCAGGACGCCGGAGCCACGGTGGGGGCGCCTGGCCAGGACGCCGCCGCCATGGTGGCGGCGTCCTGGCCAGGCGCCTCGGCCGTGGCTCCGGCGTCCTGGCCACGCGCCACTCCCATGGGTGAGGCTTCCCCACCAGGCGCCTATGCCACGGTGGCGGCGTCCTGGCTAGGCGCCACAACCACGGCATGGCCTTCTCGGCTAGGCGCCAGCCACCATTTCGTCCTTACGATACGTTACGAACTTCGTTTTCCGGCGACGATGGCGACTCTCCGGTGCATATCGCCGCCGACGACGTCTCTTCGGTGATCCACATTTTTTTAGTGCGAAAAATTTGTTTTCGGTTAAAATTATAAAAAGGGCAAATTTGTCAAAAAATTATAAAATGCGGGCTTTATGTAGTAATTTGTGGGCGATGTTTAACAAATCCCTTGGGTAATATATTCTTATTTTGTACTTGTGTAATATATACGATTTTGTACTTGTGTAATATATACGAGTATTGTAAAATTGTTCTATATATTCCAGTAAAAATAAGAACTGTAAATAAAAAAAGGCAAAAGTTAACAAACTCCCTGGAGCTTTGGATAAGTTAGCTAAAAGAAGAAAGATTAAATTAAAATTAACATTAATTACTCCGATCGACGCGTGATTTTGTCATACTTTCCCAAATTAATACCACTTTAGGTAATATTTTACTCCCTCCGTCCCTTATTGATAGTCCCTTATGACCAATTTTAAGTCCCAAAATGATAGTCCCATTTGCTTTTTTCAAGTACCATCAATATTAATTTTTTTAACAAAATTCTCTACAATTTGCAACAATATTTGTGCAAATTTAACTTTCCCATGTAAATTTTGCTTTTCCACCTACTTTTATCGTTTTTTCTCTCTACTTTTTTGCATACCCGATGTAAATTTACCTTTCTAATGTACTTTTATTACTTTTTATTCATGTTTATTAATTCCCGTGAAAACTGCCCATAAGGAACTATCAATAAGGGACGGAGGGAGTATATGTTCGTTAGCAAGATCCATAAAAAAATTATTTTCACTTACAAGTACTCCGTATATTTTGAAGGAAAATTAGGGCTATGTATAAGAAGCTAAAAGAGGAAAGTATTAAGAAAATATATTAATTAATTATATAAATTTGTGCGTGATTTTGTCATGCATTTATAAACTAATACTATAAAAGAAAAGATATTTAATGCTTATTTGTAGCCCTAAGGGCTACATATAATAGCATTACCCGTTTTTGAATTGGTTGAAGGGAATTAGGTGTTAATGCTTGTATATATGTTCATTGGTTATCTGTAGTGTTTTGATGAAGGAAAAAAAAAAGCAGCAATTGGTTATCTGGGGCGTTGGAATCATGGAATATGTCATCAATTGTAAAGACTTTATACGTATGTTAGTAATTAAATTGATTGTTGGAAATACAAAGCATCTGAAATTAAAGGCGAGGAAATTCGGTAAAGATGTTTGGTTCCCATTCAACGATGGGCCCTAGGCCCATTGCACCCTCAGGGCCGGGCCTGAATCACAACAACAATTGCATCAACAGTAGCATGCAATGCAGCTTAATTAATTTAGCATTGCACCAAAGACAATAACAACAACAACAATCTAAAGCCAACATCAATAACATCCAATCACAACAACACAAAAACAGCAACAACGAACAATATATAATTAACCCTTAAAATCAAAATCCGACATGCATGCAACAATTTAAAACGGTTTTCAGTGAGTGTAGTATGTACCTTAGCTTGGTTGTTTCCCGGGGCGGAAGAGTCGAGGTTAACTTGAAATGAACTTGCCTAATTATAAATCAAGAACAAGTATTCAGTATAATTAATTTAAGACCGATGCATGCACAAACTTAAACCAATCAATTAAACGTACAAGAATTTAATGCAATACAAAACAACAAGGGATGGACCTTGCTTAGGTATGGTGCCGAGAGAAGTGAAGGAGGTGATGTTGCGGGGGAAACAAGAGGGATGGCGAAAGAGAGAGCTTAATTGAGAGTGTGAAAGAGAGTGAGTACAGTAGTCAGTCAGTGAATGGGAGCAGAGATTAGAGAGAATGAGTGAGATCGAGAGGGTAATGAACCAAAAGATATTACTAAGGTTGCATGGTTATTAGGATCTAGCTATAGGGCCATATAAGTCATTTCACCTGTATATGTACATGTGCAAATATATACCTTAGTTTTAAATTTGTTAACACATCTTCACTTTTAACACTATTCACCAACTTTACTTTGACTAAATTTATATATTGTGATTGCGAAGTAATCGATAAGAAAATATATATTTCATATTAATTGACACATTTTTTTTTTGGTACAATTACCGATGCATACTTTTTTTTTTGAAAAAGTCAATGCATACTTTTATACAATGTATACCCCCTCTTTCTATTTTTTTGCCCAATTTGACTTTTTGCGGTGTTTAAGGCGCATCTTAAACGTATATATTCATTTTCATATATACATGTAAAAATTATAAAAACGTGATTATATCAAAATATACAATGAAACATATTTAACAGGATCCTACATGACTATATTGGAGTATGTTTTATAGATTAATAGTAATTTATGGTCAAAAAATAACAATGGGGCAAAAATAAAGGGGTGGAGGGAGTATATCCTTAATTACACGTGGCAATGTATCAATGATTTAGGTATCGTAAACTTTCAATAGAGCGTTACGGTTAACTTGTAACCTATTCAATTAAGGGTCTTTGATTTAATATGTCAAGTTCCCTGTAAGATGAATATCTTGATATCAGCCCTGGTCTCCAACCTCCACGGAATTTTAACTTTTGTTTCTCTTTATTTGTTACATAATCTGAATAATGCAGACATAGACGGATATAGGGGCGGGCCGTGGCCTGCATGAACAGAATTTTTTAAACATAGAATCCTTATTGCTACATGTAGATAGCATTACTTGTGTAGGCTAAGTTGGTTTTTACTATTTTGTCAAACGCTCTACTAAAACTAGTGGGTGCCAAGTTCGATTTTTACCGGCAACATTTTTATTTGGTCATTATCATTGGATTTCTACACACTGGATTATGATAATACATACCAAGTACTGTATTATGGCAATATTATAAGCAAGAAACAGAGGAAACAGAGAAAGGATACACGTGAATACTGTGATACTCAAATGTCAAGATTTCCAATTGGCCAAGGGGATCACCGTTGTTGACAAGGCAGTCATCATCGGAGAGCCTCCGGAACACGGTGGGATCTTTGGGGCCCCTATTGAAGTTGAACCCCCCGCAACTAACATGGATGTTACCAATTCTGCAGGCGTCAGATTCGCAGGTGTTACTTATCACAACTGTGATGTATGAATATTCGATTGGGACCGTTGGGTTCGGCATTTGAATTATGTCTATATCGCGGTACGATGGATAGAGTATACTACGCATGGTAGAAGGATGGATTAATGGGAGATGAAAATGCAATTAATAAGACTATAGCTTAGTGTCACGGTCCGGGAGTTTGGACCCCGAAACGTGCGGCGCGCTCTAGCCTTTTGGCGGCAAGAACGCTAGCCTTGAGCGGAAGAGGGGCTTGTGAGCACAAAGCAACACAAGCGGGCAATAGAATCTCAGGAGCACTCACGTCTATCTGGGCGACGGAGTGCAGGTGGTCGGGGCTTGTGACGGCCTATACTTCAAAGCGGGCACAAGCGGGTCCGAACCACGAGTCCTTAGCGCATCAAGTTGGGTTGGAGGGGAGCTAATATGCAAGTAAGACACAATATCTATAAAGGTCTAACAACAAACAAGCATAAAAGCAAGGCAACACTTGGTAGAAGGCTTTAAGATTTCATTAATCATTCGCCCTCTAAAGAGCTTTAAATGACATACAAGGAGAATCCCTAGTGAACACTGATCTGACAGTAACACAATAATGGGACCTCAAGCTAAGAAAACATAACCTAAACTCTAGGAAAGCACTTAAATGGAATCTAATACATCAAAAGGAGTTGGATTCTAACATCCTCCCCCACTTAAGCTGTCGACGACCTCGTCGACTTACAAAAGTTACAATCAAAATTAGAAAACCCTAAACTATCTCAATTTTCGGATGCGCCGTTGGTGCGGCTATCTTCTGGAATCTTATCTGACTCTTGAGCTGGATCTTCTTTGTTGACGAGGAGCTTGTCTCTGGAGTCGCTCGGCTCGAACATCTTGTTGAGAGCTTCATCTCTAAATTTCCTCCTGGGAGTGGAATCTGTTGAATTAAGGGGGACAACTGCTTCCACCATCATCTGTTGGGGAGCTGCTTCCTTGAGACTGTGGTGGAGAGCTTCAAGTTGTGGCTGGTGCCTCTTGGGTGACCATTTTCTTTGTAATCCCTTGCATGCGCCCTGCGTTGTTTGCTCAACCACTGTTTTTCCTCCCTCTTGGGAGGTTCTTCTTTGGTGTCTCTGGGCTCGTCGCTCTTTGCTTCGAACCTTGTGACTGATTCTGGTTTTGGCGGGTGTGTATCTGGGATGTTGCCAACTCCATGGGTTTCATCTCCCGCTTCTCTGGGTTTCTGGTGCGAGCTTGTTTCTTCGATGTTGCCTTCTTCTCAGGCTCCATCACTCGCATTGCCGAAAGATATCGGACTTCTGGTTCTTCTTGAGGTGCTATCATTCTCATAGCACTCAGGCGTCGTATGGAACCCATCCTATATGTGGGCTCCTCATCGCTGCTAGTCTCTTTTGTGGCCTCCTGAACGGACATGGATGACAATCTCTTTTGGATCTTGTCAAGTTCTTCTTTATGCTCGCAATCCCACCATTTGTGTGGACCTCGACAAAGTATGCAGTTTATTGCCCTTGTGTTTGCCGAGGATGCGCCTGCCCTCGAGTTTCCTGAGTTGTGGGAGGGGGTAGATGTTTGTCTCTGGGCATCACCTCCTCCACTTCTTCTATGATATGTATTAATGGTGTTGGACGATACTCGTGAGCCGTTCTCTGTACCCTTTGGAGAGCTTGGAGACGAACTGTTAGAGCGTGTTGACGTCCCACTTGAATCCTTCTCGAATTGACGACCCTTCCCGACTGAGTAGTCCATCAATCTCTCAGCAGCACACATAGCAGCAGCGAGGGTATCAATATTCTGCCTCAAAATCTCTCGCTGCGCCCATTCCTTTAGCCCGTTGACAAAGTTGAACACACGATCTTTCTCATTCATGTCTGTGATGTCCAACATTATCGCCGAGTATTCCTTAACATAGTTGCGAAGAGAACCCTTCTGGCGGCACTCTTGCAACTTCATCCGTGCAACAAACGCTGTGTTGACGGGGTAGAATTGTTCTTTGAGTTCCTCTTTGAACTCCGCCCATGTATCAATCTTGATCCTTCCTGCTTCGATGTCTGCGTGCTTGGTGCGCCACCACAGCTTAGCATCTTCGGACAAGTACATGATGGCAGTATCCACCTTCTGATCGTCAATTAGTTGACATATTCGGAAGTACTGCTCCATGTCGAAGAGAAAGTTATCAACTTCTTTCGCATCTCTAGCGCCACTGTAGTCGCGAGGTTTGGGCGGCTTTATCTTCGCCGCACCAACACCCAGTGCGTCTCTGCCCACAGCGCGCGTTAAGGTAGCACATTTCTCAAGTGCTTCGTCGGCTTTTCCTTGAACAAATTGCAATTGTTCGCGGAGGGCATCTCTGTCAGCCATCAATTTCACAATTTGCTCGGCTTGCTCGTGTACAATGACTTGGAGCTCGGCCCATTTTTCCGCCTTCTCCTCGAGCCAAGCGAGCCTTTCTTCTACGAATTCCATCTTCGTGTAGCCCTCCTTGGTGCCTACACGGGTTGCTTGCGACAAGGTTTGAGCCTCGGCTCTGATACCAACTGTCACGGTCCGGGAGTTTGGACCCCGAAACGTGCGGCGCGCTCTAGCCTTTTGGCGGCAAGAACGCTAGCCTTGAGCGGAAGAGGGGCTTGTGAGCACAAAGCAACACAAGCGGGCAATAGAATCTCAGGAGCACTCACGTCTATCTGGGCGACGGAGTGCAGGTGGTCGGGGCTTGTGACGGCCTATACTTCAAAGCGGGCACAAGCGGGTCCGAACCACGAGTCCTTAGCGCATCAAGTTGGGTTGGAGGGGAGCTAATATGCAAGTAAGACACAATATCTATAAAGGTCTAACAACAAACAAGCATAAAAGCAAGGCAACACTTGGTAGAAGGCTTTAAGATTTCATTAATCATTCGCCCTCTAAAGAGCTTTAAATGACATACAAGGAGAATCCCTAGTGAACACTGATCTGACAGTAACACAATAATGGGACCTCAAGCTAAGAAAACATAACCTAAACTCTAGGAAAGCACTTAAATGGAATCTAATACATCAAAAGGAGTTGGATTCTAACACTTAGGCTACTATTTATAACTAGTAAGATGGAGTAATACGAAGAATAATGCAGGTAAATGAGGACTGAAGCAGCATGCATGCAACTGATTTGATCAACTCGCTCACTTTTAGTCAATTTTGACCTGATCTTCAAGCCAATTACACTAATTACCAATTACACAATTACAGCTGTAGAACTACTAATTAACTAAATTGCTTATGGGGTAGTTACTAGTTGGTTGTTCTGCCAACGTAGTATAGCACAACAACAATATCATCACTTGAAAATTGCTATAATTTTCAATTCGCCTAATAATGTCTTCTAAATTTTATACAATATTATGTTGTCATTAAAAAAACTTGGATTTTGTATGTTGTTTGATGAGAGAATTAAGAGTTAAGAATTGCCTCCGATCCATGCATGAGTAATATCTTTTAAAGTCATTTGACAATCATATGCTTTTATAAACAAAATATTTTTGTGTTGTTAAAACAAATAAGGTGCATCTTATTCACAATTATATGCATCTAGATTGCTTTAATTTGGGTGCATCGTAAACTATCAATAGTGTTACTATCGAGAACACATAACATATTTGACTAATGGACCTATATTTGTCATGTTCCTTAGAAGATGACTATTCCATACCTTGTATTAGCCTAGATTAAAGGACAAAGGCATTATATGTAGAGACGACGTTTTAAGAAATTTTGAATCTTGTCTCTCTTTTGCTTTCATAATAAAAGAAGCATATATGAAAAGTCATTTAGGCCTCACTATATTAAAATTTACGAAATAAATTCTAACTACCCATATTAAAGATTGGTAAGTGTGAATGTACAACGCAGATATTGTGTTAAAACCTAATACGGATGTTACTATTGAAGAGAGCATGAACAGTATTGGGATACATTCAAGAACCCATGGCCTCAATCCTCCTCCTATTTCAATCATGTCTCTTGGGTGGGCCCATTTAATAACATTGCACAAAATTACAGCTTCTGGACACTCCTATGATTTGTGAACAACTGAAAATATCAATTCAAACAGACCAATTTTAAATACTACGTAAATATTATAGACCACATTCACCACAATCATCAACAATCCTCCAGCAGCCCACCCTATGCATGTAAAATCTAGCATTTGTAACTAGAACCTTCAAAAGCAAGTTGCATAATTAATTAGATAATGTTTCACCTGCATATTGACTTCTCTACCCTTTTCGTCTAAGGTCGGAATGCATGATCTCACAAATAACACCAGGGTATTATGGTCATTCACCGTATGACCGACTTCCATTCAACTTTCAGCAATAGAATTTGGTTGCCCTCTATATAAGGAGAGCCTTCTGTATCTCCATGAATAAGAAAGTTTGTATATGACCGTCCGAATTTTCAGTCATTTTCTCGATCTAATTGACAGTTTCCCTGCTCTTTATTTCATCTCCGTAGCTTTTTAGAAACCTGAAGAATGTGCCTTCAAGTTGAGGCCTTAAAGCTTGATGATTCACAACTCTTTTCTAAGAGCAATAACATATCAACCCAAAGAATTAGGTACCAACATTATATTAGAAAAGCTTCAGTGTTGTTTATTTCAGTTACTCTATTTTCCTTCCTTCTTTCATACTTCACTGGCCTCTCCTTCCTATACTCTTACACTTATTATTCCACCAAGTTTCTCCTGCCATATCTTACCCAAACTTTTGAGAGGAAGTACATGTTTCTTCTCTGCAACGGAATCCTCGTCTTCCTTGCAGGCAGATCAGGTTTGCACAAAGCTTCCTGCAATTTGCCTTCAGAATTCCAAACAAAGGTAGCTGAAACTGATATTGACATCCGCGAAAAGGTCATGAATGTTGAAGAAGACCTTATGTTGCAGCCTGCAGCACCTGTTCACCCTCTATCTGAAGAAGAAGAAGCAGAAACTCCCATCGGAGACGAATTGCTTAAAACACAAACAGAAGCTGCAGCGACAGTAAAAGAGCCAGTATTGATTGAAGCAGATCGTCAAGTGGTGGGCTTAGTAGAAGATGGAGACCAGCTGGATGAAGTAATTGAAACAGAGAACAAGGAAGAAAGTGGGTCGATAATTATAGGAGGAGAAGAGGATGATACAGAGAGTGACGGACCTGCAAGCAATACAGAAGAGCTAAATAAGAAGATTGAAGAATTCATTAGAAAGATGAAGGAAGAACTTCAGCTTGAAGCTCAACAACAGCAAATCATTGCTGCATAACTAGTCCACTTTTCCCCACCTTTTCCATTTCACCATGAATGCACACTACTGGTGCAAGCATATTAGGCTTTTCACCAAGCACAACCTCCCCCCCCCCCCCCCCCCCCCCCACCCTCCCCCCCCAAAAAAAAAAAAAAAAAAAAAAAAACAAACAAACATTTTTCTTCAAATTAGCATTAGTAGTGGAAGACTGAAAGTTAGAGAGTCATTTGTCTTGTTAATACATTTTTCTTTCCTTCCTCTTTAAGGTCTAGAAGTTTCAAGGGAAAAGAGATATTCAAATTCAAAAATCACTCCTTTTTAGATCAAGTAGTATGATGCTTCCTATGTTTCTCCTTTATTAGTTGCAAAGTTTAGAATGCATAACTTCGATTAATAATAACTTTAGTTTATCAATATTAAGTAGATATTGTACACTAGTCAAATTTAACAAGATATCACACGACGATGTTTTCCCTAAATATAAATCACAAAAGATATTGCAAGTCAAAGTATTGTTATAAAAATAACAAAGTGATACAGAGTACTCCATACTCAGTTCGTACAGGTTAATGGCAAACTAATTAAAAGTCTATTTTCTAACATCTCGTGTTACCATCCTTGTTTCATCACCCAAATTGATGACATAATCCTCATATTATAGCTCATGTACTGTGCAACTTTTTCGGAAACTATGCATGATAATAATCCTTTAATTTGCCTAATTAGTACAGGACTCTCTTTTTGTCAGTTCTAGGAGTTTGAAGGGGAAAGAAGAGTCAAATCACAATTTAGTACGGTAAGAGAAGAGTACTACTAGAGAGTGGAGACCATTGATGTCTAGTCCTCAAAGTTTTCTGCTACTTTTACTCTTTTCTTTTTGTTTTATTTCCCAGAATGAGATTATCAGTTAATCACCCATTCAATCATTCCCATGTACTGAACTGTGCTACTTTATCCCATATTATGCATAATAATGGGGACGTAATATCTTTACCTGTAATTTACTCTGTAGAAAACACTAGAAACGAATCAACCAAGAAAAGCCAAATCAAACTGTTAGCAGCAAAGTGATATTGTATGCAACCAATTGACTACACGTGTTAAAGATTTTTAATTGCAGAAGATCTTGACTCAAAGTGTAAATTTATTCACAACTTTATAGCAATAATTGACTCTAATTTAATAGCAATATTCCATCTTTGATATTCGATGGAAGGGGAACACTGCTGCTAGACAATTCTGTTATTACTGTGCAGTAACAATCAGATACACACATACATGAATGGTAATCAATTTATTTTGCAATGCCAGTCTCATGGCCTATGTTACTCGGACTCTTCATTTCAACTCAAGTACTTGTGTCGGACCCTTGACTCTCTGACATGGGTAGGACACTATGACACTTCATTTTTGCTCAAAATCATGGAATTTTTTCACAAAATAGCATAGTCGGATACTTAGCCACGTACCCATGTCGCGCAAGGGTACTGAGACCAAGTAACATAGCTCATGGTGGTGACCATGGCAATTGAGTAGATAAAAAATGCGTATTTGAGTTGAAAAACACGCACTTGAGTTGAAAATGCATTTTCCAGGACCAACCCAAGAGACTTCATGGAACTTTACTACATAGTAACACATATGAACTCATTCCCAAATATGTCTATGAAACAAGAACTCAGCCACAAAACTGTTATGAACTGATTCATTCAATGGCTTCACACAAGCTTATTTTTTTTAAGAAAATTAAAACCAAAACAAAACAAAATATTATATGCCTAACAAGTTAAGTACCTAACACACGATATAAAATGACAAGAATGAAGTGGGACTTGAAGAGAGAAAAAACTTACCATTAGATTCTTCAATCATGCATTAGGGGATAAGCTGTTAACTATTTGGTAACACTGATCCATTTGTAGCTATGGGATTATCCTTGAGATCTGTCCATAGAAATCAAGGACAATCAGCCAGCTAAATGCTTAAGCCACCCATTAAGCTTAAACATGTGCTATCAGGCCATAATTGGACCTTAAACACCAACTTGATTATTAGAATACAAATGATTGTGATATTTTCTTCGATATAATAAGGCATTCAAGCAATGATTCACAACATAAGGATGTGCTTGTTTGTCTTTTTACCAGATAAATTCAGTATCAACGATAATGACTGCTCCATGAAATCTTCTCTCTTATGTGGTCCTAAACAAGCATAATTTCCTTTTCATGTCCACTATCTTTATCAAACATGAATGAACAACTCAAACATATATCAAATGGGTCCTCTTGATTATGAAAAAAAAATGAACAGAACAAGATAAATGAATCACCTGAAAACTAATTGCAGAGGCACATCAAGATTCAAAAGGAGTGATCTAAAAAAAAAAAAAGTATCTGATTAGCTTCATAACCCATTAAACCTGACTGTTGATTAGTTCCAATGTCATGTAAGTTATGCTAAGAGCCATAGATCTTTCATCTGCAGGACATTTAACATAATTGTTAGTAAATAAACAGGAAAGGCAAACAACTGTTACTTGACTCTCCATTTTTGGGATACTAGACAATCCAGAAAAATGTGGATGCTTAGCTCTTCATTAGGCTGGGTATAAGGTATAAGCATGCATTGGTGAACCAACTTAATAATCTGGCTTATCCTGTAACAATTCATTTTTCTGTTTCCAACACATTTATTGTCAACAAGTTGTTCCGGCCAGATTATGCTATTAGATCTTGTTTCAGAGGAAACCCCCGTCATTCTTCAACATGCAGGTGCCCAGGTTATGTAGTGAAGCAGGCAGAGCCATTAGCTAGAGGTGGAACTTGTCTTAACTCTTAATCCCAAAATTTTCTTCCAGTGTCCCAACTTCCCTGCCTGCATGGAGAATTCTTAGTTTCTCAGCAGTTCAGATCAGTTTGTATCCTAAGCAACAGCTCCAAGCAGATACTTTTAGACTTCACCTACCATCAAATGTCTGCAGCCAGAGAAAATCAGCAAGACAACTAACAAACTTAGATGTATTATCTTTTCAATATTGCTAAAAGGACCTACTATAAGTCCTGAAATTCCAAGATAAGTAATATATATCTGATTTCCAATTCGATAGTTATATAGAGTTGACATGTTGAACTGACCTTACTTTGTGAGAATAATGAGTAAGCTTCTTTTAAGGCCTTAGTGAGAAGTGTCAAAACAAGAGAATAGTAAATAAACTAAATATGACCAATATCTACATAATTTAGTCTTCTACACTCTTGTAACTTGAATATGGATCTATCAGGCAGATTATATAGATCCTTGTTCTCCATTTTCATACGGAAACAATCAAACAATTGACATACAAATAATAAGGAAATCCAGACAACATAATACAAGAGTTTAAAGAAATCAACATAAATAAATCAACATCAATAAAGTCTTTCCAGCATTTTACACTATCCAGAATGAATCCTATATGAACTGATCAGAAAGAAGCAGGGGGCAAACTGAAAACAGGTCATGCAATGGTTGCAGGACTATTACACATTACTGTATTACATCATGCTTAAATTTTGCCAAATCAGGTCAGAGAATATAGAAACACATGACCATCCCAAAATCAGGCATTAAAAAGCATCGTCTTCCAAGGGTGCAAATAGAGAAGTACTCGTACCTGGTACTAGCACCTTGAGCAACAATCTCTACCAAAGCAGGTTTCGGGCAACAAGCTAGAAGCTGCAGATACTGAAGTAGAGATTCAACTTTGGTGGTCCTTTTTGTGGCCATGTGTTTAAAAACAGCATTTTAGCTCAAGTTATCCATTAATTGTAATTAACCCATCAAGATTCAAAATCTGTTATGGTAATAAAATGAAAATACATTGCCAAACTATACAAAATTAAAAAGCTATATGTATAAAAATAAATGCAAGACATACTCAGCACTCAAAAAAAGGAAAAACATTGCACTAGTGTAAGAGCTAATATTTGGCAGTCACAACTCACAGACTTATCAATGTAGTACACTTACAAAGATGCAAGTGATTACAATACAATACAGCAAATGTGCAAGAATTGAAGGTGCTTAATTGTTTTGTACAAGTTAAATGAACCAAATATGGAGGCTTATATGCCAAGGAGATCACTTCTTGTGTAATTTTCAGCTATCTCTTCCCTGAAACAAACCATTGGAAGGGCTGGGAGTATAATAAAAAAAAAAAATAAATAAAAAAAGTCAAAGCAAATAGAGTCACTGGAGAATTACATTCGGAAGATTTCAACAATTCCAGCTTCCCAATATGGTCTATAACAGAAAGAACACATTGTGCCATTCTACCAGCTTACAAAATTTCTTTTACAAAGAAAAAAAAGACAAAGAGGTTTTAATCTTCTTAGCAACCAAATACATAGCATTTATAATTGGCATAACATTCAGAAGCATCGTATCATCACGTGTTTTTGTTCACGAATACTCCGTATTACAAAAAACAAGCGAGTGTACAATAAATATTGCAAAGTGAATATAAAATTATTCTAAAAATGATCAAAAATGACCTGGCTATATAATATAAGTCACCTATTTTTATTGTATTATACTACTGTAATAAAGTTGTTCCCTTTAGGAGGATAAAAAAAAAACCCAAATGATGTGTATAGGTAATTATATTATCCTTTAAAAATTTTACCTTTAAACAATTTACCCTTAAAATCATCTCCTATTGTACAATGACAATATGCTTTGAAATCACCCTAAAGCGCACAATACATGGGGACACAAAAAAGGTTTTGTTTCTAAGATGACAGGGGCAGAGGGCTGGCTCGTTCATGATCATTATTGCCCAGGCCAATTAAGACGTCTAATCAGTTTGACTTTCAAAAGTTCATATAACTGTAGTGTAATATAAGAGCTTATTTGGTTGACAAAATAAAATGGAAAGGTGAAAGTGACAATTCATCTTTCCTTCCCACACAATATAAGAAGTAAATAACCAAGACCTTCCTTTGATCAACCAAATTCATGGGAATTCAACTTCCCTTGTCATAACCAAACAATTTAAGGAGGAAATAACTTCTCAAAAAATACAACTTTCAACGGAAATTAGTTTCCCAGACCAACCAAAAAAGGGCTGAAGTAAAATTTCCAATCTTTACATGTAGTATTTTTCTAAGGCATAGTTTACCATTTCAAGAAGACATAGGGATCAATGGATCATTACATATCAAATAATTCTACTGTACTAAAGAAGAAACCTTTGAATGGGTTTGATTATTAACAATGCAATGTCAGATACCCCAGTTGAATATTCAATTGGGAATTCCGAATTCCAATTGTCGGACATCATCAACTACACAATATTGAAGAGCTCATTCTTCTGAAATGAAAGAAAAATAAGAAATAAATTGAAGGATATAAAGCATACCGGAGGAATTTGTTTGTATTTCCTGCGCTCATTGGAGTGGAGTGTGCACTGTTTTTCTCTCCGACTGTATAAACAGATTGTATTGGCAACTGTGAAATGTCATTGTGGGCAACGGCCTATCAAGAAAAACATAATTTGGGTTTCCAATTTGCAGCCCAATCTAATAAAAGATGCCATTTATCAATTGGTACAAAGTACTACTCGTAAAGTCATAATGAAGTTGTGCATGCGAGAGTTGAAAATTCAGTTCAAATGGTTAAAGTTTTTTTTCTAATTTAAGAATTTTAGGATTGATTCTTGTCAGCTCTTGTGACTCTCTAAATTACAACAAAAAAAAAAAAAGAATTTGTGCACGGGCTGGACCATCAAGTCATGTGCTTCAATAGATTGTCTCTAAAACAAGTCAAGGAATGTCATGGCTACTTATCCTCTATAAATGGGCTCATGTATGGGTTGAGACACACTCACATGTTGGGCTAGAGGGTCCTCTTAATTAATAAACTTTGATGTTAGAGGGCCTTGAGTTGTCTATGGACATTATTTTAAAAACTTGACACGAACATTATACGTAGGATATACAACGGTTGCATAAAATATTTTCTGCCCACCAACATGTCTCTTGTAGTCTTGAGACAATTTTTTTTTTTTTTAAAAAAATAGTCAAGTACGATTTGGGCGCTGACAACCCTCATTCCTTTCCAATCCCAAGCCGTTAGTGTTACTTCTCCCTCTCTCTCTCTCTGTGAGTCCCTGTCTCTCTCGTCAGCTTTTATGGGTCACAACTTACAAATTCCAGAGTAGACAGTCTAATTGACATCGCGAGCCAAAAATATATTGGACATATTGGCGTATATAGACGAAATACATGACATTATTATGATGGTTTTTGTAGTTAATGTGAGAATGACAATCAACTCCATATCTTTCAAATTCAAGCCCTTCCCCATTGTCTGCCACCAATTTGCAGGGATGAATTATGAGGGATCCCATAAGTTTGACAAAATTCCAACTTGGAGAATTTATACCCACAAAAATATAACAATTTATATAATTATAAAGTCAAAAACAATAACAAGAGAACAAAACAGAAACACTAAGACAATAATAGGACTACAGATCTTTATATATCTCTCTCTAACATTTCTGGGCATTTACACTTAAAGAATATGGAGTAAAGAAATAAGCTTCTTATGGGTACAAAACAAAGATTAATTCTTTCATCTTTCCAAATAGCATTAATAAGGTGATTATCTTTCTTCCCCTACATTTATTTCATGCAACTCATATATATATATATATCAGTGTTTCTTATGTGCATGCTATGCGTACATGAATGTTACAAAAGAAAATGTAAACAAGCTGATAAATACCTATTTTTGTGTTTGTTATGATATCCGAAGATCCCAAATCAATAATGACACAAGCACACACCTATAGTGTTGGTTTATTTACTGTATGCAGCAGGAAAATACAGGATTATTATAGATTCTTTCAATCCCTTCTATAGTGGTATCTGCTTATTTTGTTAATTTCCTGGTTTCAGAATTCAGATTAGATTATACTACTGTAGTATGTCCCCTGATGACATTAAAATGGAACAGAAGGAGCGAGTATAAAGCAGCACAATTTCTCGTGGAGATTGATTGACTATATATATTGCTAAAGATTAAAACATCCATTTTGAGGTAACATATATCCTTGTATGTCACCTTGATAGTGCAATTTGAACTAATAATGTGACATCTTAATCTAGATAAAGGTATTTTTTTTTACTCGAATATCCATTTTCTATGGATCTGAAAGTCAAATTATAAATAGTCACACTTGCCAACATATTCAAAATCAAGATCTTCTTAGAATTCCTACATGCACATAGATATTTGCACTATATACTATCAGCTTGAAGTGTGAAATCTGAGAGGATTCTTGTGAAGTGGATTTTATATATACATGTAAATGATGTGTATATATATGAGTCCATAACCTGTTTCCTCTTCTCACTCCAATTTTGGAGCATGACGAGTACAAGGCACATTCATATTCAAATGTAACAGTGTAATAAGATCCTTTTCCTGTAGGATTTTGTTTAACAAGATTTAATGATGTTAAAGAATTTTAGCATTAACTACAAAGGAGAGGACTATAACATGTTTTACATCTCTTTACTAATTGTAATGCTGTAAGAACATTTGGGATCGATATACATACGTAGTATATATGCATGTTAGATTCAGTCATTTTTCAGGGTTAATCTGCAAATGCAGCTGTAACTTGTATGAGTGACCCTGTCCAGTTTTTGTATTCAGTAGGAGCTCTCAAACTGGCCCTCGTATTCTAGGACATTGTTGATGAGTTAATGACATGTGTTCCACAGGCTGTTGGAAACAAATGCTTGAGTGAGTGAACATGGTTCCAATAGACACTGCCAAATCCCCACTACTTGAGCGCTCTGTCATTAAGTCTGCAAAGAAATTCGGAGATGTCAACAAAGCTTTTACAAGGAAAAGATTTCGGCGCAGCAAAAGCACCCCTTTTACCAAGTACAATCCCTCAAAAGAGTCAATTATCAACATTCATAATGATGATGATCCAAATCCTCCACCACCATCGTGTAGCCCCAATGAAAAACCTGTCCTTTTACATGTGTTCCTAGCATTGGCCTTGTACCTTAGTGCTGGAACTATTTGCTTTGTCTTAGTTAGGGGTCAGCTCGATGGAAAGAAAACAAATGGTGTAGTTGATGCCCTTTATTTCTGTATTGTCACAATGACCACTGTTGGATATGGAGATCTTGTCCCTGCTACCACTCTGGCCAAGCTGCTTGCCAGCTTGTTTGTTTTCAGCGGGGTGGCTGTTGTCGGTATGATTCTTAGTAGAGCAGCTGAATACATCGTTGAAAAGAATGAAGCGCTTGTGGTCAAGGCTTTTCACCTTCAGGAGGAGGCCGTACCTTCTGCTGAGATACTTGAAATGGTGCCCGTGGAAACCAATAGGACTAGATACAAATTTGTGATGGCCTCGATCCTTCTGTTATCGCTTATGACTGCAGGAACATTGTTCTTAACCTTACACGAAGAAATGGACCTGATTGATGCCTTCTATTGTGTTTGTGCCACAGTCACCACTCTAGGTTATGGGGATGAGAGCTTTGCCTCAGCAAAGAGCCGACTTTTTGCTGTATTTTGGATATTGTGCAGCACTATGTGTCTAGCTCAGTTCTTTTTCTACCTTACTGAACTTTATACAGAGAGGAGGCAGAAGACCTTTTTGGATTGGGTTCTTAGCAGGAAGCTTACACTAGCTGATATTGAGGAAGCTGACCTTGATAATGATAACGTCGTGAGGTGAGTTACTACTTACTTGGAGCAAGTTCTTAATCTCAGTTAAGGTGTTCAATCTCTAGAAATGTTTTATTCAATTTAGTTGATTACTTTATTCTTAAATTTATAATCCATTTCGACTAACTTATACTGATACTAGAGCACCCTATCTAATGTGTAGGTTAAATCTACCCTAGTTAAGTCACTAATACTAGTTTCCTTGCTTCAATTCAAGCTTACTGATGCTTGCAAGTCAAGTATATATAGTTGATGTTGCTATTAACAATTACTGTATTTATCTATAACAGTGCTGCAGAGTTCGTTATAATGAAGCTAAAAGAGATGGAGAAGATCACTGCTGAAGATGTCACCGTTTTGATGGAGTGTTTCAGGAATTTAGATGTGGATGATTCAGGAACCCTGACTACAGCTGATATAATAAATTCAGGCTAATCTACATGCAGGGTATGAAAACAGAATATATTCACAAGAGAAATCTTTCTTGCATATCCATACTTGTGGGAAAAGGTAGCATCTTCGAAACAATCAATACTTTTGGAAACTAGTTTATATCTGTATTTCTGCTGTCTGCAAGATTTCTGAAGCTTTTATATACATGATAGACACCAGTAATTATCTACTTAGTGTATGGTTGCCTTCTTTGCCAATTGCCATTCTTACCTAATGGCTCGGTTTTTTTTTTTTTTTTTACACATAACTCCAGGGCTGGCAAGCTAGTAGCCTGGTGTCAATGTTATATTCGACGTTTGGCTTTGTTATGCATACGATGACTAGTTGCAAACAGGCAACTCATATCCTGAATATAATCAAAATTAAAATTTTACAATCAAGCCAATTCAAGGGTTCTCATTCTTCTAACTTCTACAACTACAACCAATCTAGTTAGTTGATGATTCAGCATTCAATACAATTATAATTAAACACAAAAGACTTAATTGCTAATAATCAGTGTGATACGAGTTTTACCTAACCTATATCACTAATAGAGGCACAAAGGAAACAAGCTTGACCGCCATTATTGGAGAAGTCCCTTTCAATTCTAGGTTATCTTAAATTCTATTTAGAGTATAATTAATCTTTGTTTAGCCACATAAGCCCAATTTCTTAATCAAAGCCCATTGTTGACTCTTAATCACATTAAATATTTGATGTAGATAGTTTTGGGCCACTATTACATATAATGGGGATGTTAATGTTATTGGTAAGATTGGAAACTTCTGTTAGAGCTTTGCCAAATGGCTTAAGTAAAGCAGTTGTTCTTATCTTCAATGTAAATTTAATCAAAATACATCATCATTTATGACTTATACTTTCAAGTAAAGATGAAGAGAATTTTAATTTTCATGTATTTGTTTTTTTCTTAATTTGACTTTTAAGCCACTTCAGTACAAAATCTATCAATAACCAAAAAAAGTCATAAGGATTCTTCATTATTCCTTGATTTAATGTCATTTTAATGGTTGAATAACAAAGCATGGTTTAAGGAAGGTTTAGCGCTTAAGCAAATATATGTTCTAGTCATCAACTTAGTCATAACTCACAGTCCATTATAATTTTGCAACTTTCGTTTCTGATAATTACACTAAATTTGGAAATGGGAAGGGTATATAGTGGCCCACGTGAGAGGATAAAGATTTTTGATTAAAAAAAAATGATTGAACTCAAATCGAAATTGAGGCTCTCTAACGCGATTGTAGGGTTATAAGTCAATTTTTGTATATCTCATGTTCACAAATAGTATCAAGTGAATATAAGACACTCTAATCAATCTTGAAAGACTATTGCAAGATGGTGTACACATTAATATGTCATTAATGACGTTTGATATCATACATTATAACTGGTATTTGAGCCTAGACAATGCCCAAGGTCGTTACATGGGTTTGATCATTAATATACATTTTAATTTATGACTCAATTTTCTTGTAATTAATTTTGTTATCCATATATTAATTCGCTACCTATTAATATTTTGTATTAAAAAAATATAACATAAAATATCACTTAACTTGGTGGTAGGACACTCAGTTCTAGTATTAGAGGTTGCATGTTTAAATCTTTTGGAGAACTTTTTTTTTTTTTTTTTTTATCATAAGTGTATGACATACAATGAGAAACAAATGAAAGCTAAAGGAGAGCCACGTGGCGTAATGAGAAATTGAGTGAGTGATGTGGCGTAATAAGGGGTTTACGTGACACATAGACGTTCTTAAGAACGCTTTTTAAATGTAGATTCACAAACTCTAAATTTTTTTTGAAGTGAGTAAATAAATGAAGATAAATTGAGTAGGAGTGAGTAACTCTCTCAAAACAAAGGTAATATACTAATATTATTAGGGAAGTTGTTTGAGTTGCGAGAATTTAAGAATCCAAACAGTATTAGAATATGATAGTAGAAGATAAAAGAAATGATGAGAGAATTGAATTATACGATGGCATATCATAAGGGGGTAGTAACGGTTACTATCATAAGAGGAGGAATTAAGGCGGGTTTAACGGCTTATAATGTGATTAAGGATAGATTATGAAAGGAAAATGAAGGTTTTGAAGGGGAAAGAAAAGGATTTTAAGGAATTATTTGGTGCCACCGATTAATTATAATTCCTTAAAAGCATGGACTTCTCCTTAGCTACCCCCGTTTGTACCCAACTATATTAAGCCCCCTCTTCCACATTACATATTTGATATTTCATACATTATTTATTTTCTCCAAGTTATATACAATGATGTTAGGAATGGAAGACCTTAGCTTCATTTCTCAGCCTCAACCTGACCCTATTGTCTTGGAGCTTAACCACTTGCAAAATCAGCTTAAAGGTGTGTTTTCTATTCATAACCTAATTTGCTTGTTATATAAGTTTGGGGGTCGGGTTTGATATACACAACTTTTGTTGTCATAAGTTATTAGCGAGATGAGACATTTATTTTAGTGTAAAAAATTCATTTTACGTCGTAATAAATTTTTTTACAAAAGAGCATTTGGGTAAAGAGGGGATGAGGATATCGATATACCCCATCTTATAGATATGGGATTTTGACAATTACAACGGTTTTTATCTAAGAAACCTCCCCAATACAATAAAAGATATTTACTATAGAGTAATTTCCCTTGTTACAAAATATTTACTACAGAGTAATTTCCCTTGTACAAAATATTACGGAGTAATATTTACTAAGTGCGATGGAGGATATCCCTTATTACAACTATGAAGGATATGAAATGCTTTTTTAAAAAAAATTACTTTTTGTAATATGTGTGTTATTCTCACAATTTTTCCACCACTTAATTTAAAGTGCAACATTTGAATAAATTTAATTAATTCTATGCCATTAAGAGTAATGATTTTTTTCAAACCCATTATAAAGCAATGTTTTTTTCTAGTCAAATACAGTACAATACAAAGTATAAAATTGTACGGAGTACACTATGTAACCATGTACCATAACTCTCAAATACTTGGTTTAATTAGATTGAGTCATGCAAGTATGCAACACATTTTGTATCTATGTAGCACAACTCACAATAGGTTGTGTCATGCCAAGCGCATTGACCCATATAATGTGCCAAATAATTAGGTTGTATCCTGTTATATCGTGTTAGTCTTTGCAAATCACAATCTAGAAATTGGCCATAGTCCACTGTTGGGCTATGATCGCAGATGCCATTGCCAACTTTATCTCATAATGAAAAGGGAATATGGGAAGGAGATCCATTCCAGCCCCATTTTAATTCCTTTGACAAATGTGGAAGCAAATGACATTTCTAGAAGTTTTGTAATTTTGTTTTGGGGTGGATTGCTTATATCTTTGGCAAAGAATGATGAGAATGTGATTGTGTGACCCCTCCATAGCATTTTAACTAGTATGATCTGATATATCATCTAACCTGCTTGATACTTCATTAGCCATTTTTTTTTTTTGGGGTGGGGGGCTGGTACGCGGGCCCAAGCATGAATATCCAATAGGCCCGTCCAGCCCCCAACCTCCACCCCTCCACGGGTTCCACCCCATGCTTGTCATGAGAATTGATCCCTAAATCCTTTCGTCTTGAGTCGAACCACGTCTCTCATTCCTAAATCTCAGTACTTCATTTGCCACTACACTACAGGTAATATTCAAGTTTAGGTACAAGATCAATTTTATACAAATGAAAAGTGATTTCCTCATTCAATAAGTAGTTATTTCTGCCTATGTAGATGAAGAAAATTCTATTTTTAGTGACATTAATTAGGTGAAGCGTAATACACACATTTTTCAATCACTTCACACTACCAGAATTTGTAACAAACTGATCCTGATTAATCACCTGAATAACAGTGTCAGAACTTCTAAGATGTGTATTACCTTTAACTTAATTAAATCATGCAAGACATAGCCTACATGCATTAAAGTTTCATAGCAATATAAGAAGAGTCTGTTAAGATGTAAGTATCTAGGAAACTCAGAAATCGCTGTTTAAAGATGCATTAAGAATAAACAATGCAGCAGATGAAGTCGTCAATAACTAACTATTGCTTTTGACAGATTATATAAGAACCTATTCTATACTTCCTTAAAAGACAACGTATTTGGTTAGCTATGTCTGAATTCCAACATTTTTTTTTGGGTTTTAAACATGGCTTTAGAGAAAGATAATGATTTATGTGCTGCACAAAATGAGATCAAGGCCCTGCGAGCAACTCAAGCACAGAAGGAAAAGGCTCTAGATGAGGTATCCGAAAATTTTGTCATGTTCTTGATTTTATTCCTGTGATAGTTTTCCATGATCTTCAGCTAAGTCTATATGCATTATGCATTCCCTTTCTGTTTACTTTATCACTTGTACAGCTCAAAACAAATTATGACAAGTTGGATGAGAAACTGAGAGTAACCGAGAATGCCCTGCAACAAAAGGTATTTATGCTTACTTTCTGATGTTAATAAAGGTTTCATATACTGATATAAGTGCAAGGAAGTGAGTGAAAGAACTAAATAAGTGAAAATGAATGTATATTGGGAACTGATCAAATGCAGAATCTAGAGATGAAGAAACTAGCTGATGAGAAAAAGGACGCTTTGGCTGCACAGTTTGCAGCCGAAGCAGCCCTTAGGAGGTTACACACAAACCAAAAGGATGATGATTATATACCAATTGATTCGATCTTAGCTCCTCTTGAAGCTGACATCAAAATGTACAAAAATGAGGTACTGCTTGATATAAATAATTTTCAGAATCAACAGATTGACTGCTAGATAGTTTATTGAGTTTTAAGATCTCTCTTTATTGGCAGATTGCCTCTTTACTGGAGGATAAGAAAGCTATGGAGCGTCTCACAAAGTCAAAAGAAACAGCTCTTCTCGAGACCGAGAAAATCTTGAGGAGTGCCCTCGAAAGGGCTTTGATAGTTGAGGATGTACAAAACCAAAACCTTGAGTTAAGGAGACAGATAGAAATCTGCCTGGAGGAGAACAAAATACTTGAAAAGACCAACCGTCAGAAAGTTGTAGAGGTTGAAAAGCTTAGCCAGACCATTCAGGAACTTGAGGAGGCTGTTTTGGCAGGTGGAGCTACTGCTAATGTTGTTAGAGAATATAAACGCAAAATCTCTGAGCTGAATGTAAGTCTGATATTCTGACTAAAAGAGTATTGTAAATTGCATCATATTTCTCACCTTTGTTTCATGCTTTCACTTTTCTTTGCACTTAATTAACTGGTATTTCTTAGAGGTGATTAGGTGAAAATTGCTCTCAACTCTCCTTATGTTCAACTGTAAAGATGGATAAATTAGCCCTGTCCCAAGGTAACTAAATGGTGTAAATAATAATCAAAAATTGTCTTGGGGTGATATTTAGGAAGAGAAGAGAACTCTCGAGAGGGAACTTTCACGGGCTAGGGTGTCAGCAAACAGGGTGGCAACTGTTGTTGCTAATGAATGGAAAGACGAAAATGATAAGGTAATGCCGGTGAAGCAATGGCTGGAAGAGCGTAGGGTCCTGCAGGTATGCAAATACTAACATGGAACTCTTATCAAATATTTAATTCCAGTTAAGCAATGACAAATTTATGCTACTTCTCAGGCTGAGATGCAGCGTTTAAAAGACAAACTAACTGTGACCGAAAGAACTGCAAAGGCAGAAGCACAGCTGAAGGTACATGCCCGTCTTTGCATTATAACCCCCCCACCCTCCCAACTATGATTCTTAATTATTGGTGTGTTTGACCGAACTACAACCTCAGGAAAAATTCAAGCTGAGGCTGAAGACTCTGGAAGAAGGCCTAAAGCAAGCTACAAGCAATGAGAGCACACCAAAAAACTCAAATTCTAATCGAATCCTGGGGTTTGTATCAAACAATACTGGACCGAGGAAGAGATCTTCATCACAGCCAAGAGGTTCTGTGATCAACAGCAGGAGCTCTCCCCTTCACCAACCTTGGTTGGAGAAAGTAAATAGTTTGGAGAACCATAATTCAAAAGAAAATATAGCCAAGAGAAGCTTATGGGGAACCAAGACTACCAATACAGACCGTTTTGGAAAGGAAAACTCAGAATCAATAGCAAATACTGTCGTGAATACTGATTTGTCAAAGGATAGTAATTCTGCAGTTCAAGGGGTAATGGAAAGCAAAGAAATAGGGAGTGAAGATGCGGTTTCAGGGTTTTTATATGATAGGCTTCAAAAAGAAGTTATCAATTTACGGAAGACTTGTCAAGCAAAAGATGATGGCTTAAATTCCAAAGATGAAGAAATCAAGGTAATATCTTGCTGAAATAAGGTTACGTCTTTCCTTCACTGTGAAGAAAATAAGTTTACCAGCTGAAATTACCTGACAGATTCTCATGAAGAAGGTTGATACACTGACCAAAGCCATAGAAGTGGAGGCAAGAAAAGCAAAGAAAGAAACATCAGCCGGACAAAAGGCAATTATACCAGCTGCAAAGGATGAAAACAAGAAAAATTGGAGCAAAGCTTTCCTTAAACGGTGATACTTTAATTTCATGCTTCTCTTTTACTTCGTATTTGATTACTCTCAAAAGGTCATGTGCATAGCGTCAACTCACTTAGCAATATGTAATTCTAATATTTGTCATAAATTCATGAATTTCTGATGATTTTGCAGGGTCACAAAATCTTAATCAGGATTGAATCAGTTTAGAAACTCTTTGAGCTCAAGAAGTTTAAGGGATGGGGATTCTCCTGTGCTTTTTTTTTTTTCCTCGGTGTGTACATGTTTTGTGAAGAATGTTATTGAGTTGCAACTCACAACAGCTAGCCTCACATGTTAATTTTGTATAGATTGATAGCTGAGAAGCAACTCAAACAATATGATTTTGTGAATTTTGATTTTATGAACGTTAGCATATCAGAAATACAAGTACATGTTACTTTATTCCTGAAGCTTATTCCATTCCCCTAAATTCAGATCAATAATCTATTGGAAAAAGAAGGAAATGCAAAGATAAACTTGGTGCAACATCATAGTGCCTGAGGCTCCTATCCAAGCAAGGCTCTAAACAATCTAAAATTTGAGTGATTTTATGATTTCTGATAGAGTGACGATACACATACGCATACATGAACACACAGCCAGTCAGCTTCACCTCAAATATGTTCTCAGATTTCTCACAAAACTAGTCAAGGGTTTCTTAAGCCTGCTGGCTCTTACTAGGAGAACAGCTAAAAAAAGAAGTCTCTAACCTAAGACCTTCAGGAGTGAGATTACATTACATGCCATGGTGTATAAGTTTCCTGTCTGAGCTCTATGATTTAGAGACAAATGCTTTGTCCACTGAATTGATAAACAATACAACCTCTTTCTAAGTCACTGAGTATTGAATGGCAGGAAGGGAGGAATAAAACGGCCATAGAACATCAAAATAAAAATAAAAATAAAAAGTGATATTAGCCCTAGAAAGTCAAAACACCTCTCATTTTCCAGACAGATTTTACACGAGCAAAATCAGAGGTCCAAGGAAAACTGGGTTGCATCTAATTTATCCAACACTAAAAATATGGATAAAAAAGAGTTACAAAAAGGTATCTCTAATGTACCTACTCTAGGATCGTAGCAAGCGATGGCTGCCACCTGCTTTTCGATCTTCGATCCTTCTCCCAGAAGCTCTCAGCAAACTGCACATTAGTTCCAGTAGCTTCTAACTCCTTCACATCTTTCAGCAACTCCTCCAACTGTTTCTTAGTTAACACAATCTTTACAGTTTTGCGTTTGGAACTATCATCAGCTGACATCTTAAGAGGGATTGGTGGGTTAACTAGGTTTTCTGTCTTGCCTTCCAATGGCATTGAGGCGAGAGCAGGTATTGGGTGAACCTTTGCATAGCATTTAGGTTCATCAAATTCCTGCAGCTTGTTAGAGCTAAATGCTCCCTTTTGAGACAATATAACTTGAATGCAGTTACCCATGGTAATTATTGAGGTGGAGACTGAATGATAAAATGACAGCAACACCCATACAACAAGACTTATATAGAGTTTGTTCTTAGTTTAAGCAGGTCAGGCGGCAGCATAACGTGCAGGCCACCTTGCTGGTTACTATATTAGGTTTTAAACATTCTAAACATGATCAGGTCAATTCACTCATGTGGGCTTGCACGTTTAGACAATAAACTATGGATTTGTTTATGCACACTTGCTCCTTGTCTTCCTATTATACAGGGTCTTCCTGATGTGAACACTTCCAGCTTTGAAAAGCGCCTTCGAGGTTATTGGCTATTGCATCTCTAAATAGCAGCTTTATCTTAATATAAAAAGAAAATTGAGGATGTAATTAAAAAAAAAAAAAAAAAATCACGAAGTCAACTGCAGCAATGGTGTTCAATGTACATAACCGAGCGAATGCAAAATTCGGAGGGAAAATAAAATTTGATAAATAAAAAAAATATTGATAATACTATTTTATATCAAAAATAAAGTATTTATTACTTGGAGAAAAATATGTCAATTAAATATTAAAACATTACAATAGTCATATTTCATACGACTACTATAAAATTTTCACAAATATTATTTGTTTTCCCAAACAACTCAATTTGGCCAATTCCAGCATTTGAAATGAAATGCTCATTCCCAAACAAAAGATATTCCAGAAAACACCTTCACAATGGAGGTTAAGGATAATTTCACAACATTTATTCAGGTAACATAAATCTGCGCCTGACTAGAATACAAAAACTCTATTTACTTATTAATGAAAATAGCTAGAGGCAACGTAAACTGTAAAGCTGAATAGTTAAAACATAACTACATTCGACCATTACATGGAAGTCTAGGGAGCTAGGAAGTCTAGGATAACCTTATATTAGATGATAAGTTGAACTCCATTCTAAGATCAAATGAGGCATGACATTTAAGAGAACCGGCATGTGAGCATATTAGGCTTATTATTACAATAAGTATTATTCTATAAGCCAAGCAACAGTAGGAGAGAGTGAGTTTATTTTGATAAATTGTGTGAAATTATTGATTAAAGATAATAATTTGATAACTTTAGTGAGGAGTCCCACATTACATGGATTATGAAATTAAGAAAGAATAAGATTAAGAAATTGGGTTAAGAAACCTACATCTTATTGGTTGGGTAGAATGACATTTTCATTCAATGAGAAATATTTAAGGACAGGCCAAAATAAACAATAGTATAATTTGAAAATTAAAATAGTAGAATGGATGGAGTAAATTTTTATCCGATTGTATTGTTTATTTTTTTTATAAAAACAATAATAATTTCTTAAAAGAGGAAAAAAAAAAAGAAGTCGTCTTCCATCCAGTTAACAGCCAGCTCGTAATCGTACAGAATTACTAATCGACAACTCAGGTATTGTCCTAATAGTTCAACCTTCACTCATGAGTCTTAAGAGCAACTTCCAATAAGCATTGTGCTTCATCACAACCCTAATTTAAAATTAAGAGTAGAAACATCTCATTGATTCCAGTACATATGTACATGTTCCTCATTTTAAATAATGAATGCTACTTGTATCATTTCATAGTGCAATATAGAGCTTTCCTCAACTTCTTCCTTCTCAAATTCCATCAGAAGATGGAGAAGTCCAGTTAAGTGAAATTGGTCCCTCGATAGCCACAGGAAACAGTAATTTTAATCTCAATTCACACATACAAGCGTAAAATTGAACCAAAACCTTGAATATTACCCTAAACACAAAACCAAAAGTTGCAATTCTATCTTAAAATGTATAACCCCGTCATACTTAGCATAATGGCTTATCAGTGAACAAAATATTACTCTGATACCTTGTCAATAGCCTGATTTTCAAACAAATCCTCATTTCCATTTGAATTCTTGTTATAGGAAGGCTCTTTTAATCTTATTTATTTACACTCAAGAAGATAATATGGTGTTAAATCATCGTAATGATGCAAGAAAGAGCAGACTGATATGAAAAGTAACCTCATGTTACAAAGGGTAAAGAATTACAAGTAAATCGAAGAAAGCAGACAGTTCCCTATTCTTCCTTTAGGATGGCAGATGGAAGATAAAAGAGGAACAAGAGAGGCAGGTAGCATAAGTAAATATTTTGAGCACACAGCAAATTTAGTGGTCCTTTTATGAAGCCATATTAGACATCATATCAAAGCTTCAACCCCAAGGAAACCAGAAGGGGCGGGGGTGTCAGACAATAAAAACCTACTTCTCGTTGAAAAGCAGGAAGCTCAAACTATACCAAACCATTGATCGAATGATTTCAGCCAATTTCAGTTTAGCACTGAACAGTAAGAAGAGCCTCTGACCCACTGCTGGTTGAAGCATAGGATGTAATGTATTTGCTGCTTTTCCATGTCATCAAGATGTGATCAACTAAAGTTCATGGAACTTTTTATTCCTTTAGGGATGCAAAATGTCAGATATATAACCTTATCATGTAGATCACTGTATAGCATTATTACCTTCCGAACAATGCCTCGAACAAGATTCTACCTGGGATAGGGTAAAGTAAAGGTCCTCTTTTGTGACACAGAGACTAATACATTTAAAGTGAATTAACAAAAAAAAACCAATTCCATACATGCCTCAACAGCTTTCTCATTTCCACATATTGATATTGTCACTGCCAAAGTGCCAAGTACCAGATCTGGTTCGAGCCTCCATGTTCATGAACATGTCCCAAAAAGCTCCAATGTAGTCCCTAGGTACTAGCTACTAATCAATGTCACCCATCTCTAGTAGGACTACCACAACACCAACCTCATGGCAAAGAACACAATAGATAGTTGCTTGAGGTATTAAAAACTAAGGCTGACTAGGGTTCATGTACCATTATTATTTGACAGAGAAAAGCATATTAAGAAGTCATTAAGATCCTCTCCTGGTTCTTTCTATTGGTAAAAAAGGCAATTCCTCAAGCTCGGGTTATCAACAGTAGTTCTGATAGCTCTCGACTAGAGACATTAAAATTCCCTAAACCACAGTCATGACTCTATAGTGATAGTGAGAGTCCCCTAAAAACGAACTGGCAGCAAATTCTAAGCTGCCTGTGCCACTAATCTAATTATTCTTCTAAGTATTCCAATATGGTATGTGCACTGGAGGGGAAAGCTTTCAATTCAGCATTGTTCTATATAGAAATTTAATGAAACAAGCTCCCAACTTTCATATGATATCTGATTGTCAATACTAATTCCCAACTTCCAACATGTAGCCTGCTAGTCTAGAAATAGTAAAAGAGCTTGCATTCACATGCCAGTAAAATAAATTCTGATTTACAGCTTTAGATGCTACTGTAAAAACAAGGTCTTAGTCAGAAAGAACAAACAGCATGTTTGAAACATTTAAGAGGATAATAAGGTTTTAATTTTCTAGAATGCTTAATAACTCGCACTCTGTATATAAAATGGAGGCGGAAAAATCTCCCAATACATTATCAGTAATACAAACAAGCAGAAACGGGAAGGTGACACCTATGAGGCTATATACCATATTAGGGCTAAAAAATAACTCATAGAATCGACCAAACATAGAGGAGAGCTGTGTCATGGACTGGTTTACTAGGCCAGGTCAGTCAAGTCAAACACCTTTATTGGTGTATTCGAGGCGGGGAAAAAGGAGCACCGAAGGTCAACAACAAAAGCAAGGTCAGGCACAAGGTCAACAGCAAGCAAATTAGCAGGGAAGCATTCTTATGCTAGAAGACAAAAATAATTAAGAATCAATTAGAGAAAGCAAGCAACAAGCATCAACAATGTCTAAGTTTGGTTTTGCCAAATTAGCTAAGTATCACATGTATCTTTTAGAAGCTTTGAGTATAAGTATGGTGGTAAATTCATTAGTAAGATCATCCAGAAATTGAGTTAAGAATCCTTTAGAGAGTAGTAGCCTAAAGCTACCATGAGATTAATAGCCTAAAGCTATTACTTATCTTCCTTAGTTTGTAATCTTTCGATCATTAGTAATCAAATACTCAAGCTTTAGCTCTAAAATTACTGTCATCTGTGCTTAATCTTGGTGAGGAAATTCTAGTCCATAACAAGCTGCCCCCGCTCAACATTGCTTTCATGTGCTTTTTCTACAAATAAAAAATCAGCTAACGGTGCTCAAATAAATCACTCAACCTCCACTACACAAAAAGAGAAGTTGAAACACCAAGCAACAAATTTTTCCACAAACATTGACCATTGACCATTTACCATTTGCCAAAAAATCAACACCTTTAGGCCATTATAATATTAGCTCCCTCCTTGAAGATCCAAATTCAAACCATTTTTTGATGTATCTTTTGAGTATCGCAACTTCATTAACTACAGAATATAAGAGAAATCTCTATTTATACTCAAAGCAAAACCTCAAATTAATTTTCATAATGAACCTCCATATCTTAGTGTCTAGGGATGTCAGTGGGGCGGGTCAAATAGAAGACCCACCCCAACGGGGTGGGGATGGGTCTTGATTTGGCGGGTGATGGGGCGGGGATGGGGATAAAAACCATACCCGCCATGGGTGATGGGGCGAGCGTGGATTTTAGGTTGTACCCGCCCCATCCCCACATCCATATATTATTAAAAACAAAATTATACTTTTATATTGTTTTATAAAAAAAATTATGTAAAATAAAATAGTAAATATAATACTTTGTAATACACTTGTATTATACACAAAAAAATGTGTAATATTAACAATAATTTTTTTCTTTTTGCAATCTTTATTAATTATGAAGGATTGTGTATTTGGGAGGCGGGGATTAGGCGGGGATTAGGTAGGGATTAGGTGGGGGTGGATATCCAAGTGGGGGTTGGGGCGGGGATGGTTTTGGAATTGTACCCGTCAGGGCGGGGATGGGGATGAAAATTTTAGATGGGGATGAGGATAGGGATGGGAAGGCCAACATCCGCCCCACCCCGCCCCATTGACATCCCTATTAGTGTCTATGATATGAGAATTATTATGTACATTTTTCCAAGAAGTTGGTTGACAGGCTCACCTTGGTCTTTGGATAGGTTAAGGACTACCTAGTAACTGACATAGCTGACAGCTCTAACAATGGCAGAAAATTAAGAAGGAAATGATGATTATATTGATAAGATGAGAATTACAATAAATCAAATGATAATTCCACTTTCGAGAGGTGGATTCTCCCCTAAGTATGAGCTTTCGAGAGGCTCACTCTCTCCTAAAGTCCTAATAACAAACCACTCAATATTCAACATGTCCTTATTCCTCCTAATGAGACCTATTTATGAAAATCCCTCCTAACAAACCTCTAGCTTATTCCCCATGTTATTACTAATAGACTATGACTAACATGCCCTTCCCCCATATATTGATTCCTTGCACTACCCTACAAGGTAAAGGCAGAGAAACAAGGGAACCTACTAGTAGATGCAACTCAGACGCTATCAATCGAAAAGCGAGACTACCAAACACTGTACTCAACTGGCGCTAAAGACGTAACACCATTGAGGTTGGCCTCTTTGGAATTTGGATCGTTATTAAGTGCAAGCAAAGGCTGCCTTAGTGCCCTCAGCTTATTTCTTTTAACAGTCCATTCAGCCATCTCGTACAAGATGGAAGTAAGTAGTCTATCCATGGCAACATCCTCTTAATAGCCGGGAAATAGATACATAGTATCAAATTATCCTAATAAAAGCTAACAGATAGTTTTAGTAAATTATACCTTTGTATGAGGGTAATATTATACAAAGTATAATGACAGTAGCATTTTATTTGGATTAGGAAGGTAGATGAATTCCTTATCGGTGTGTGTTAATGAATAATTTTTTATGCCTTCCTTATTTCCTTTGCCTATCTATCAATATAGATAATCGTTCTTCCTTTTAAGAGAATATTGCACTTCAGATTCACAGGGAGTATTTATGTGGTGTATAATTTCAGAGAAATGTAGTGTAGAGTGTTAAACAAAATCAGTCTCATGTCACATGCAGCTTAAATTACAGCTTAAATTATATACGGCTTCTGTTCACAAGTAAAAGTCCACATCTTTTACTGATCGTAGTCAAATTTTATAAATTTTGACCATCAAATTAAAATTAGTTACATTGAATTATGAATCAGAAAATAATTCCAGCATCATCTGAATCATTAAAAAGTATTCTTAATACTTTTCACACTAGGCCTTAAAGCTATATATGGCAATTTGACACACAACTGTTGAAAAATCATGCCAAAGGAGAACAAACCAACTCTATATAAAAAAAAAAAAATCATCTATGAGTAATAAATAAAATAAATAAAAAAGATGCGAAGAAGAATACTTACTATGACTCTTGGACAGATAAAAATGACAAATCCCTCCACAAAAATTTGGAAATGAACAAGGAGCGCCTAACCAGAAACTTGTTCAGGGAACTTTCGAGACTCTAACCATGATTGTGCTGCAGCCTTCGTTGTCAGAAACCAGCCAAGTTTATCTGGAGCTTCATGAAATGGCGCATTAAGTTTCTTCAGATGAGCAACAATTACACCTGCTAATCCTTTTTCAGAGTACTTGTGCTTTCCATGTCCTGTGTTGATCCCAAGCAGAGGAGGAAGTTCCTCCCCACTTTCAATGGCCTTTTCCAAGTCAGTCGTCCAAACATGTAGCAAAGTCAAAGCAGCTCCAAGCGAAAGGGATTTCAAGTGCAAAGACCACTGAGTGGGAGTTCTTGACTGTAAATCTCTGTATATTTGAAAAGTGAGACCCAGGTCCAAAAGCTCACAAGCTCTATTCAACATATTAAGGTTGACACATAAATCAATCAAGCAATTACAATAAGCCTTCTTTACATCAGTGCTAATTGAATCAAAGAGTTCAGATGCAGCCCCTTTAAAATGCTCTTCACTGGTTTCAGCCTCCAACAAAATCTTCACCACATTGCCAAGTTTCTCATTAGCCTTCACTATGCACTCTATGAGCTTATTCAATTCTTCTTTTGGTGTTTGAGTCATAACATTTAGAAGGCAGCCACAAAACCTATCATCAGGAGTTATACCCAATTCCAAGACCCTATCGAAAGTACTCACTACATCATCCGTTCGATTGGCCTTCCCATAGCATTGAATAAGCGAGGTAAGAACAAAGATATTAGGCTCAAAACCAGATTCGACCATCTCATTTAACACATTCTCTGCCTCTGCAACTTGTTTGTTACATGAATATACTGTTATCATAGACGAAAATGTCCAGCTATCTGGTTGGAAGGTCCCGGAACTCTTCATCTCTTCATAGATTTGTACTGCTTCCTTAACATAAGCTAGATCAGCACACATTGCTAAAAGTGAGTTATAAAGGATAACATTGAGCTCTAGTCCTTTATCTTTCATTTCTTTATAAGTCTTGAGAGCATCATCACCATAACGAGCTCGACAAAAGGCACGCAAAAGAGCAGCATAAGTCCCCCAATTCGGGGAAACCCCATTGTTTGTCATCTCCTTAAAAATAATCTTGGCTTGCCAGGGCCTTTTGGCACGCCCCATAGCATCTAGCAATGTATTATATATAACCAAATTAGGCTTCGCCCCAAGAGCCTTCATTTCCTCATAAACATTCAAACACCCATCAAAATTACCGGTCTTCCCATATATCTTAATCAAGGTAGAGAATGTCACAGCATCTATCATCCACCTCTCAGTCCTCGCACGGTCATACAAAGCAAATGCTCTATCCACATTCCCTGCCCTTCCATATGCATCAATCATAGCAGAATAAGTAACATCATCCGGATCGCAACCAAAAGCCGGCATCTTTTCAAACCACTCAACAGCTTTATGGGGTAAATAACACAACCTACAACAGCTAATAATAGTAGAAAAGGTAACATTATCAGGTTTTACACCTCTCTGAAGCATTTCGTCGAACAGCTTCTCTGCCCTATCTAATTCCCTACCTTTCCTCAAAACCTTCAAAGTAACATTATACAACACAACTTCCCTAACCAATTTGATCTTATTCTGGAAAAATTGAAGAGCCACCAAAGCTGTATTTGGGTTTTTCATATTATTAAGAACAATAACAGCATCCTGTTCTACAACATTTTCCCCCAAACCAAACAAGACCTTAGAAACACCTTCATGAGTAGCATCACATGAATCTAAAGAATGAGCAACTTCAACAAGAGAAGAGTACCTTGAATCGTATGATAGTTTGCGAAGCTGAGCAGCTCTTGGGCTTTTGGGGTTGACCCAAATGTAGCCTTTTCGGGTATCTGGGTTGGCAGAGTCATTGAGAGAGAGTTGGGAGGATTTGACAATGAAGAGCCTGGAATGGGAGGAGAGATAATTGGGTTTCAGAGTGAGAGGAAGGCGAAAGGTTGAAGAAGAAGAAAAGGGGGTGAGGTGTTGAAATTTGGAGGGAATGATTTGATAATCAAACAGAGATGCCATTCTCTGTTCCTGTGTGAATTGATCTCCTCACCTCACTTCAGTAACACTGCAATTTTGCATAGCCGAGGCCTTATCAGGTTACAGAGCCACCTTAGCTTGTAGGTTCCTCAACCCTTTATTTTATGGAATTAAATTGAAAAATAGCTGCATAGGCTATTGGACTAGTTTAGAGGCATAGATGACACTGGCTTGGCCGGCCTAAAGCATAGGTCCGCGTTATCCAATACGGAAAGAGTATAGACACGGTTTAGATACGACATGATATTGTGCGTGTCAGGCCGTGAGTTGCCTTTATTTAGAAAAATTATGACAAAAAACATCTCGCCACGATTTTGTCTTAGGCATGTAAGCATAACACATTCCAGCATGGTACATGAGCATGGTTTGGCATGAAATGGCCCAGATTAATATGACAAACACATTAGTGAGCTGCGCTATGTATTGATATGAATTTCAAAATTTGACACAAAATTGACATGTGGAAGAAAGATTGACCCACATTTCAATCCACGTTCCATACATGGAACACTTGATCACGAGACCCGTTGGCAAGTCACATGCCTTCACTGATCTAGTTATCTCTATAACTAGTTTTATTAGAAACAAATCAAATAATAACATATTTGAATCTCAACTTATTCCTTAATTACTACTCTATATTATTGTTAGTATACATTGCTAATGCACGAGATAATTCTTGTTGAAGTGACATTTTTATATTAAAAAAAAAAATAACAAAATATTGAACTCAGAGTTGCAATTATCTCCGGTGAATTGGATCAAGTAAAACTTTGCAGGATATGCTTTGCATGCAGGGAGGCCAATGTACTTGGATCTGCGGATGAAATTGTACCAAAATATAAAGAGAACACCAATTCACAAGCTGAGCCTTAAAAAATATTTCAACCACAGTGGGAGTCGAACCCATGACCTTTTGATCCGAAGTCAAACGCGCTAATCCACTGCGCTATGCGGTCTCATCTTGCTACATAGGACGGAAGTGAATACAAGACTAAGATGTTTCATGTCAAATCACTACCATCTTCACTTTCATGTTGTACAGTTGTAATATGCTCCCTTTGATCAAATAGAAAATTTATGGGACTAATCGAGCAATTACATGACTTTTTCTACGTAGTATATTACTACTTATTTATTTGTGAAAGAATCCAGAAAAGTGATAATACAGACAAAATTAATTCCAAATCTTAAATATCACCTACAAATCTTTACTAACTAATTAAGTTAGTTGACATTTATTCTATTTTCCTTGGTTGTGAGCAAAGCATGATTATTGTCCCCCTCCCCACCCACCTCTCTTCCCTAATTAGTATATGGTATTAGCTTATTATTAGGGGTTACATGAAATAGATTGAACACTTTAGATGATAAAATCTTTAAATATAGGCATATGATTGCTTTGGATTTTAGAGTATAAATATAACTTTGACAAATAATGTAGTAACAAATTGCTTTTGAAATCAATGCTTTTGCACCAAACAAAAGATATAAAAAGTTGTATGAGACCATAGATAGATAGAAAAGTGAAAAGGGAAAATAAGTGAAAATCATAAGTAACAAAAGATTAGTTTCATCACTGTTCGTGCACCTAATTTACTACTTTTGCAATCAAGATATAGACCTACTAATAAATGGTGGTTGATTGTAACTCTTTAATTGCTTTCATTTCACTTTGTTGTGTTATTACAGCAAAGTCGCACTTAGTTTTAATATCCAATTCATATCACCTTACATTACATTTTATTTATTTCATTTAATTAATTTAATTTAATTTATTTATGGTCCTTGACACAACTTGCACTACTAGTTTTCTTTGGGGCTAAAGTCACTCTTGTGCAAAAAGCCTAAACACGTACTATCCTCCCAATTACCTCTTTCGCAAAAGATGACACAAATACATCAACCTTTTGGATTTGGTACGAACTTTTTATTCATCATACCAACAACTCATTTTTTAAAAAAAAAAAAAAATAAAGTTCAATACCTTTTATTTGTATCGTACGTTTTCGATTATAAAAATAAAGTAATATGATTTCTACACATGACTATATTATAACGAGAATCTCACTCATATAAAAGTTAATATTAAATCATCTTTTAAAAATAGTTAACGATGTTGATACTTGGATCCGATGAATTCATTAATTTTGCTAGATATAAATATAGTGTGAAAGGGAATAATGAAAAGAAATGATCAACAGATCCAAGAGAGGAAGATATAAAAATGAGGACGTACACCTTGAAGCAATTGATTCAGATCATTAAGGTAAAGTTGAATGATTAAATTTAGCGCACTAATTTAGTGCATAGAAAACGTGTAATACCCCCCTTGAACAAAGTCACTAATTAATAAACAACCTTATTATTAATATTATTATGATTAAAATAGGTATAATCTCTATATTAACATGAAATAAAGCCTGTAAACTGTAAGTAATAACCTATAGATGTGCAATTAACCCATCCCAAAAAAAAAAAAAAAAAAAAAAAAAAAAAAAAAAAAGAGGTTGCAATTAGCAAACGATTTAAAGAGGGAATGAATTAAGGTTCGCTGAAAAACAGGTCACATGATAGAACATGCAGAAGGATTTTCCTCGCTGAAATAATCGCACCGACTAACGCAGTAGGGTTGGGGTGGGCATGGTCGCCCGTAGTAACCGTACGGATACCCGGGCCCAGGCCCATAGCATGGCCCACCGGGTCTACCTTCGTAGCAAGGAGTACAGCACATCGCTACCGGAAATGCCTGAGGTGGTGGACCTGCTGGGGGATAGCCAGGCACCCATTGGGCCTGTGGCTCAGGTTGCTTTGGCGCGGGTGCGGGTGCGGGTGCGGGTGCGGGTGCTGGAGCTGGAGCTGGGGCTGGAGCTGCTTTTGGAGCTGCCTCAGGTGGGGGGTCGGATTTCTTGGAGCCGTTCTTTGAGCCATTCTTGGAGCCATTTTTCTGCATCGGTGGCGGCTTCTGGTCGGGAGCAGGCTTAGGCTTCTCAGGCTCGGGTGCTGGAGCAGGAGCGGGAGCTGGAGCGGACTTGGGCGGCTTTGGAGGCTCGGATGCTGGAGCAGGAGCGGGAGCGGGAGTAGGCTTAGGAGCAGGCTTGGGTGGAGGAGGCTTGACGATCTCGATGCTCTTAATGGATTTGCCAGCTTTGCAGCAAAGCTTGTCTCTGATCTTCTCAGGACTGCAGCAAACCACGGTGATGGTCACCGTGTTATTCTTTTCATCGAACACTTGGTTTCGTATTTCTCTTGTCATCAAATCAAATCACATAACTTAGTCCAGTTTCATTTATAAACTTAAATCATGCAGACAATTATCAATAATAAGTATATATAATGATGTTAATGAGATAACGATGGAGGAAGAGACTCACGAGGGAATTTGCAGAGAACTTTTTTAACCTTTCTGTAGCATTGACAACAATCAAGATCAACCTTCAACACCATTGTTGTTACCTGAACATACATTTCCCCGTTCATATGATCAACAAAATTGATTATATATAAAAGAAAAAAGATTGAGAGGCAATAATACCTTTTGATCCTGAGAGCAAGTCATGGTTGGAAATGAAAGTGATGAATTCCAGAATGAAATGTGCAAATGAAAGAGGAAGCTAGGAGTGATGAGTGATGAGTGATTAGTGATTAGTAATATATGGTTGCTGCCTAACAGTACAATAGTAAGAGAGGGTGGTGAAGCTAAGGTGAATTCATAGAAGGAACTAGCTAGGTAGGGAAAGACAAAGAGAGGTTGAAATTATTAGAGAAACGAAGGAGGCAATTGGGTGGCTGGATCGATATTCTCTAGGTGGGGTGCTTTTAAATTGACTTAATGCCTTCAATTCATTAACTATCTACTACTTGAGCCCTACTCTGTGATTTCCAACTCTACCTAGCTAAATTACAAACTAAGCGTTTTATTATAATTATAATACCTGGCCTGTTAATCATCTTAATAATAATGGATGTCTACATGAGAATTACATTATTGTTAGGTTCGTTCGATCATAACTGTTATTATCAATAATACTTTATTCAACTTTTTAGAACCATCGTATTAATTACTTGTATAAATCAAGCAAAAATATGTTTGGCCTTCTCTTTGGACGACATCATCAAAGTGTTTCATATATTCCGCTCATAAATATATTACACTAAAATCGTTCATATTCTTAGAATGTACTAGTATAGTGCCCGTGCAATGCACGGGTTACAAATTCTAATGATGATTTCATATGTAGATTATATAATACAATATTTATTTATAAGTATTAGTGGATTCCATAATATTAACAAATGCATCGTTACATTGTTGAATACTTACAATAATAGCTTATCCAAATATTATGGAATGAGCCGATTAATATTGTACCTACTTTAAATGATTTCCCATAATGTGGAATTAAGTTTAATAGAATTGTCAAATTTATTTATAAACACTGTACCCTTATAAAATATTGAAAAGACTCTTAGAAAAAAAGTCTCAATATGTAGGTTTTGATGAAAATTATTATATACACCTAGGTATACCTTTTCATTCAAAGTTATTATTTGCTCACTTGACGATTAAATGAACAATAATTATCCAAATGATCAAGTAAAAATACCTTAAATGTATCTTGCACTCAGATAGTCGATCAGGTGTATAATATATGTTATATATGAGATTTTGAAACATATATTCGATTTTGAATACTAAATATTAATAATTGAATATATACATATGTATAATTGAACATAGTCCATATAAGCAAGTTTTGTAATAGTTTGACTCAATGATTCGGTAACCATTACCCAAGGATATGATTGAATAAAGATACATATTTCCTAAGCATATTAAATTGAAGTGCCAAAATGTGTAAAAAAAATTTATACACTTAAATACTTAATATGTCAATGTGACAAATTAAAAGACATTGAGTTAAGCAATTGTATAAATACCACGTTAATATATCTAAAAAATAGTGTATGTTTAATATATTAGGTAATTAACTAAGATATTTTATAAGCTTAATAAATCAGTAAAACAAAACTTTCTATGTGTAGTGTCATTTTAAAAAAAAAAAAAACCTAAGTATATACAAAGTATATTATATGTTCCATAAATAAGTGGATCATATAAAAAGGATAGAAAATGAAAAAAAAAATATTGTAGGCATGATTATTTTTTCTTTTAATAAGTACTTTGGTTGAAATTTTTTGCATAGGAAGTGACTTGAATCATTTTTGGTGTTTATTTCAATATAATCTTATTGATAAAAATATGAAAAAAAAAATCGTTACAGTTATTGAACTATGCCTTTTGTTTTTTTCACAGTGTAGTTTGATATGAAAATAATGATTGATTAAAAAAAAATCAAAATATCTATATTAATGCAAGTTTGTTAAATACGGGTTTGGGCTGCACCCTCAAATTAAGAGAGAGAGTCCACTTCACAAGACCAAAGGAGATTCCATCCCAAAACCATATGGCAATAGGAGGAGTAGCCCTTTAGCCTTATAAAGTGATTAACTCTCTCTTATTCAACCAATGTGGAACACTTACAAGGTGATACTTGGGAGGTCTATTCTTCAACAATCCCCCTCACATGTAAGGTCCTTTTTTAACTTTGTCTCATGTGATTTTTCGGGTTAGAGTGCTTCTTCACTCCCCCTTACATGGACCTACTCTTGGCCCAGTGAACTTTAGCCATTTGAGATCCCATATCGTGGGCCTAGCTCTAATACCATGTTAAATTAGATAGAAAATAGAATTGAATGACTTGAATTTCTCATTGTTCGTAATGTCAAATATTTAATAGTTACACCTCCTAACAATAGAATCAAAAGATATGCTAGAATCCTAGGAAGTTAACTAAAATACAATAGATAATATTTGCCAAAAGATATCCTCACAAAAATATATTATACGATATCTCATTACCCCCCCCCCCCCTCAAGTTGGAGCGTGAGGATTGGAAACGCCCAACTTGGAAAGAAGATAATCAAACTGAGATTTGCCGAGAGCCTTGGTGAAGATATCCGCGAGCTGTGAGTTGGTTGGAACATGAGAGGGAGAGATCAATCCTTCAGTAATTGCATCTCGAACAAAGTGACAATCGACTTCAATGTGCTTCATTCGTTCATGAAAAACCAGGTTCTTAGCTATGTGCATACCTAACTCACTATCACAAAATAATTTAATTGCCTTCGGATGCTGAACACCTAGACTCGACAGTAGAGCTTTTAACCATTTAAGTTCACAAGTAATAGCCACCATGGACCTGTATTCGGCTTTTGTCGATGATGTTGACACTGTGTGCTGCTTTTAGTTTTCCATGAAATAGGTGACTTGCCAAGAAACACTAGCCACCCAGACAAAGACCTCCGTATAAGAGGACAACCGGCCCAATCTGAGTCACACCAACCTTGCAGATTTAAGTCACAATCAGAGCTCAAAAGAATACCTTGTCCCGCAGTGCCCTTTAAATAGCACACTACTCTCAATGCCACTTCCCAATGTTCACTACGGGTTCTTGCATAAACTGATAAAGTATGTGAATTGAATAGGTTAAATCAGGTCGTGTTACCACAAGGTATATCAAACGACCAACCAGCCTTCTATACTGCTCTAGATCCGAAAGTGGCGCACCACTTGCTAGGCCGAGCTTGTGATTTTGTTCCATCGGAAACCCACTTGGTTTTGCACCCAATAAACCTGCTTCAGAGATGATATCCAAAGTATATTTTCTATGACATTATAATAAGCCTGTAGAGCTACGAGCAACCTCGATACCCAAAAAATATTTCAAAGGACCAAGGTCCTTCATCTTGAAACAATCACTAAGATAGGCTTTAAAAACAGTAAGTGCAGCGGAATTATTCCTAGTAATAATGAGATCATCGACATATACTAAGACATTTATTTGAACGTTAGTCTTAGTGTATGTAAATAATGAATAATCAAAGTAGGACTGTAGGAAACCATATTGTTTCAAAGCCTTGACAAGCTTTGTGAACCAACATCTGGGAGATTGCTTCAAACCATATAGAGACTTGCATAATCTGCAAACCAACTTGGGATCCTTACTTTCAAACCTGGGAGGTAGCTTCATGTATACCTCCTCATCAAGGTCACCATGTAGAAATGCATTGTGAACATCCATTTGATGGAGTTCCCAATTTTTCGAAGCTGCTATGGCAAGAACAATTCAGACTATTGTCATTTTGGCCACCGGAGCAAACGTCTCATCATAATCAACGTCTACTCTCTGATGATTACCAAACATAACCAAGAAAGACTTGAGACGCTCAACATTCCCATTAGACAAAAACTTGGTCTTGTAGACCCATTGGCTCCCAAGAGCCTTCTTTCCCGGGGGAAGATATTCCAAGGTCCATGTGCCATTGTCTTCTAGAGCTCGAATTTCTTCTTTCATGGATTTGCGCCACCCATCGTACTTCATAGCTTCTTTGAAAGATGTTGGATCCTTGTTTTGAACAATTGCTGCAATAAAATTATGATAATTCACAGAGAAAGTGTTACAATTTATATAATGTACTAGGGGATACGGAGTACCCGGGTCTGATTGGAAGAACGAGACAGACTCTTAGCAACAACCGTGTGTGTAACAAAATCCCGAAGTAAAACTGAAGGAATTATTCATATATTTTTAGTTTTATGAATAATGCGCAAAAAATTAAAAATTTTGATACTTAATTTTAATTTGATATAATAATAAGTAAAGATGTTTTATTTAACTTAATCCATTTGACCTATATATTATTTTAGAATATCTATTTTTATCATTACAAATCTTTTGTTGCTATTACATACTATAAAGAAATGTAGTTAGTTTCTATTAAAAAAAAATGTTTCCAATGAAAGAAATATAGTAAGAAAAATAAATTAGAATTTATAAATTTTAGAAATAGATTTTGGAGGGAATAGAATTACACCAGAAAGTGACATGTGTCACTTTTGGTGTCTGTTTTAGTATTATGTTATTATTGATTATTGTTATTCTCAAATTTATTAGAATGAGAGAGTGAGGGATATATAGCTCAAGTGGTTAGAGCTTCCTTCCTTATTTCAAGAAAGAGATCCTAAGATCGATTGTCATCACCCGCCCTTATAATTCTCTAAAAAAAAATTATTAGAATGAGATGATGACATCCATTGATATTTCAAAAACAAAATCAATACAATAATTCCATTAGAGAATAATTGTAATCAATTTATATAATCATTTGAAAAAAAAACTCCAAAAATTCTAGCTTGATTAAAAAAGAAAGTATTTGATGTCTTTAACAAGATTTCCTTTATTAAAGAAGAATTTTTCTCAAAACTGGAATTGACAACTGCGTAGTACTTTCTACCAATGGTAATGCTTGCTAATAAAACAACAAATAAGCTAAATCACGAAACAAGGGGAAGAATAAAAAGGTGTTTCACTAGTAATGATAACAAATAATATAAATAAGGGTTAGCCACGTATGATATCGGCGTTGAATTTGATGGACTTAGAAACCTTATTAGCTTGAATTGTCTCAAATGCCTTCATGGATGGATGGTGGGCTCATCATTGGCCTCACCCACCGCATTCCCATTCACTCATGCCATGTGATTTGATAAATCATATTAACTAGCGCTCCATAATATGTATTCATTAGAAATTACACATTAAAATGCAATCAAACTCATTATAAATTAAAAGTTATTATTAAAGGAATTAAAGTTATCATAAATTTTTTAAAATTTCCCCTTAAATTAACTGTCTTATAATAAAATTAACGTAAGCCCGCCATATATATAAGACTTGTTGTGGATATTATTATTTGATATAGTTAATGTAGATCATGTATATGGGTAAAGAGGGATAAAAGTAAAAAAAATTATTTTCTGAAGGAACAAAGTAGACAGATATTAAACCCTAGCCGTCTC